TGCACAAGGTTATTTCTGTTTTACAGAGCAAGGAATTGAAAACTATCTATACATCCAGTAATACAAAGTTGAAAAAAAGTGCAATACATTGGTACTGTGCAGTATTTGATATTGATAAAAAGAATGCCTTTGGCAACATGTACTGATTAAGAACAATCTTCATGACAAATTAGAAAAATAACATGTCAGAGGAATGTGAATAATATGCTTATACTACAAATATTTTGTTTGGTTACAGAAAAAGATTTGGAAAGATAGACACATGCAAAAATGACATTAACTATTTTAAATATGGGGAGTCGCAGGAAACGAATCATTAGGATTTTTTTTTGCCTTTTATAAAAACTTCATTGAGACTTTCATACATGCATATAAGGTGTTTTGATCAAATCCATGCCCAGTCCCTCCCCTCCAACATTCCCATATCTCCCCATCACTTTTTGCTGACAACTTCGTGTACTCTCTATTTCTCTCTCTCTCTCTCTCTCACAGGTGTTTTGATCAAATCCATGCCCACTCCTTCCCCTCCAACACCTCCCATATCGCCCCATCCCTTTTTTCGTTTATTTTTTTCTTCTTTCATTTATTTTTATGGGGCTTTTGGCTGCTCTAGCATTCTCCCCTCTGCAGAGGTAACCCCAAAATGTTTTAGGGATTAGATAAGTGCTCCCAAATACTTTCGACATTTTTCGCCTTTGAAACAGAGTATGTTGCTAAGAAGCCCAAGGACATTTTGACTTTTAGCCAAGAAACTGGCTACTTTTCTTTGGGGTCTTTTGACCCTAACTGCCTAGCCAATTCCTACCTCCTATTCTTATCACACCATCCTCTGAAGAGGTTACCCAAATTGCTGATAGGGAATCGGGATGCAGACCACTCTGGCTTCTTCCATTCTGAACAGGGATGCAGGGGGAGGCAATTGGAGTACCCCTTCAGTGGGTCTATCTAAAAGACTCCCAAATTGCATAACTCTTATCTGTAGGGAGAAAAGAAAGTCCTTTACTGGTGAATAGGGGATGTGAAGGAGAAGTAAAGGCAAAGGCAGTTAGCATTACAAGTTCTAGACAGAGAATCAGAAAAAAGGGCAGGGCAAATTTCAAATGTTCATATGAGAGCCCATTGGGATTTCTTGACTAGAGCTTACAAAAGCATCTCTCTGTTGGGTTTCTCCTCATTTTTCTTTTGTTTGCCAAGGCTGGACTGGAGAATGATGGATTCAGAATTTGTTTTTGAGCACTTTGATAGCTGTGGGAGTGGCTAGAATCAGTGTCAGTTCCCTCTTAAAGTCTTCTAGATAGGGAGAGAAAAATCTATCCATCATTTCAGAACAATAGTGGGTTATGTCCCTTAGCTACAGGTGGGCACTACAATATTGCAGACCAAGATTTGAAATCTTACATCTATCTGAACAGCACTTTCTGCTTAAAAAGAAAATCACCAATGAGAAATAATTGTCTATTATGTCTGGGAAGTGTAATCCCTTGAACTCTTAAAGAAATATACTGATCACTTTATGGTTATATTTTCCTTTTGGCTGTTTAAGACCATACAGTTGGCCCAAATCAATTTATTTTTACTCTCCAGGTCCTTGGAGGATCTGTTCCTCAGGGGTCACGTGGGCTTGGGAGGAGCCCCTGGCTCCTTTCTTAAGAGAATGTCCTGTACATTTTGTCTTACTAGGAAAAGCTCAAAATACTAAAATTTACTCTTAGATCCTTAACTGTTCTAATGTCTACTCCTACTGAAGCCTGGGAATCTATACTTGTTGGTTTTCTGTAGGATGAGATATACTCCTCAGGGACAGAGCCAGACCTCCAGGTCTCAGGTTGTAGTGTTCCTCTTTTATGTCACTCTATTTCTGTGATCCAGCCACGTTGCAGCAAATGTCCTCCCTGCCTGTGTGCCTTTGTATTTCACTTGTGCCTTTCTAGGCAAACTGGTATTAAGAAATCATATAACTGTTCTGTTACAGACCCCATAGATCTGTGGTAACTGCTTTTAATTGCTTCCTTAAAGATGGCTCAGGAGTGCTTTTATTTTTCCTACTAGTTACCTCTGTCCTTAAAGGCAGTGGAATTTCACATTTCTTGTGCCCCAGCTCTTTAGTGCTCCCATTCTGTCTCTTCAGCAGCAAATGGCTATGCCTCCAGTTCCACCTATGCCTCCAGTTCCACAGTGACAGTAGAAACTCCACCAACATGTGTTAGGGTTCAGATCTGCAGCAGCCCCCTCGCCAGCAGGGCCTCATGGTTTTGCAAGCCCCTGAGGATGCAGGAACTGAGTTAATGAGCACCCTGGTCTTTGAAGGCAAGGTAAACAGGCTCTCTGCACCTTTTGGTCAAAGACAGCCTGCTTCCCCTTTGATGATCTTGGACGCAGAACAGGCTCCTGTGTTGGGACTCAGGTAGGCTTTGCTCAGGGGGGACCTACGGGCTTCAGGGCAGAGAGACTTGATTGGCGACAGTCTTGGACCCTGGGACCTGTGTCTTTTCAACAAACTCTTTGTTTTAAAATTCAGATGGTTTTTATACATCCCAAGGAACTAGCAGTCATGTGGGATATGGCATTCACATACAAAGATTTCAGGTACAAAGAAACAGGACATTTAGTCTGTTAGTTGGCACCAGGAGGATTCTTAAACTTTTACTCAAGGTTATCAATGCCCATCTGATAATTTATTGGCCACAGTGTTTTCTTTCTTAGAGTTAGAAGCATGGTGAACTTTTAGCTTTTAGCTCAGGAGTAAACCTTTAATCTGGTCTAATCTCTTAGCCAGGGATAGCTGAGTTATTTGTTCAGGACAAGGAGATGAGCTAAGGGTTGTTGACCAAGATGCTTTCCTACAGAGCAGGGAGCCTGCACTTATGACCAGACCATTTTCTCCTGCCAGTCTGGCAGTGTTCTGCAAGACAGCAATTATCAGAGCTACTGTTTTCAGTGCCCCTCCCTTTAGCAGAGAATGCAGCCTGGACTTAAAAGTTTTAGGCTCATCTCATCCTAGGGCCTGGTATCCTAGTTTCCTACATTTCTACACTTCGGATCCCTTAATGTAGGAACTGTCTTGATATAAGCTATTTCTCCCTGGTAAGTTTTTACAATGTGTAGACTCCTTACCCCATAACCCAGATCCTGGCTGATGGAAGGGGATGAAAGGGGGTAGTTTTAACAGAAGCTGTTCTGATAAGCCCTGGGCTCCCTCTCTCCCACCTAACTTTATTTATTTATTTATTTATTTATTTATTTATTTATTTATTTATTTATTATTTATTTAGGGGGGTTCTTTTTGAGACAGGGTCTCCCTGTAGCCCCAGCTGGCCTGGAACTCACCATGCAGACCAGTCTGGCCTTGAACTCACAGAGATCCACCTGCCTCTGCCTCCCAAGTGCTGAGATTAAAGGTGTATTTGACTATGCCTGGGCTCCCACCTATAAAAGACCCCCAGCCAACAACCTGTGGAGAGACAAATTCCCTATCCTGAAGGGAATTGTCCTGTGTGCTTTCTTCTGCTAATAAACTCTATCCTGTCAGAGTTCTTGTCTGTGGCTTAGTTTTACCCTTCTCTGCTTTTGCCTGTGCCAGCCGGCCATCTGTGCTAGTGATCCCAGCACCCTGGGTCTCCAGCTGGAGGGGCAGAGGAGATGTGCTTGTTTGATGGAGCATCCCTCTGTCTTCTGTGGCCCCCACGGTTTCATTTTGTGTTCTTAGGAGTAAAGGCAGTGCCCTAAAATATGTGTACCTTCAGGTTCTTTCTGACCTCTCTGACCCTCCTGCTGTGCTGTGAGCACTTGTAGATGGGTAGAAGGAAAGATAATGTGGTAAAATAATGAGAAAGCAGCATGAGCTAAATTGAGCAAGAATACCTTGAGTAAGATGCAAGAAACGGTGGGGCAACTCCGAAACCAGCCCTGCTGCCCCCAGATTTGGAGGGAAGTAGGGACGTAGATCATTCTTACTGGAGAAAATGAAGGCTTAGCTGCTGGAACTGCCAGACTCGCCATCCTGGTGTCTGAGGTACAGTTGTAAGCCCTATTAACATACTCTGGTACTCATGTTATACTTCAGTGTTTAAAAATGAAAAAAATATAAAGTTTATCTACAAGCCTTTGCTTCCCAGGTGTGTGCTGTAGCAAAGTAGCTTAGGTATAGGGTTTGGGAAGTCCGTTAAGACTTTAGTGTGCTGACAGACTTTGTGAATTGTTAAGAGCAGGTAGGTAGTGCTCTAACACTTTTGGAGCCCCTTTCTGTGCTTATCTCTGATCCTGAATACTCTATAATGTATGCTATGTCCAGGGAAAATAACTTGAGAAATACCAAACATCAAACAACTGTTTAATACTAAAGAAAAAAGAATTAGGTTGTCAGAAGCACGGTATCATGACTTAATAATTTTTCTTCTCATGGGCCAGAGAGGCGGCTCAGAGGGTAAAAGCTCTTGCCATGCAAATCCAAGGACATGAGTTCAATCCCAGAATCTGTGGTGGAAATAGAGAACTAACTTGGGAACACTGTGTGCGCCCTCAGCACTCTCCCCCACACATACATTGTATGCATACACAATAGTAAGTTGTATTTTAAAATAATTTTCTATTTTATCTCAGTTTCTTTTTCTCAATGTACACATTTTGAAGGTGGCAAATGAGTTTTTTGTTGTTGGTATTTTGTTTGTTTGGGTTTTGGTTTTTTTGGAACAGGCCTCCATCTTCCCCAGGCCAGCCTTGAAATCCTGATTCTCCTACCTCCACCTCTTGAGTGCTGGAATCACAGGTGTGGTGTTTAACCTCACTCAGCTGACAAGTGAGTTTTCAAAAATAAAGTGTTTTTTGATTGGTCATAATTTGGAAGAAATGAACCATTTTGTAAATAAGCACAGGAGAGGTCTGTTATGGCCAAGACAGTACATAGTGTGGAAGATTATCATATCACATTATTATAAGGTATTATTTAAGGATTGACCCAGATTTCTGATATTTGAGTTGCATTTTCTTATCCTCTTTTTCAGTGGCAGCCGATTAGGAGGCCTGGTTACAGTGTTATGCTTCTTTTTCAATCACGGAGAGGTAGGTAGTAGTTCTCTACTAGAAATAAAAGTTTCTTCAAATTAATTTCTTTAAGTTTAGTCTGTGTAATATATTCTTTTTGTCTTTTTGAGACAGGGTCTGCCTGTAGCCCCAGCTGGCCTAAAACTCGCTTTTTAGACCAGGCTGGCCTGGAAGAACTCACAGAGATCTGCCTGTCTCTCCCTCCCAAGTGCTGGGATTAAAGGTGTGTGCCACCAGACTGGAATCTGTAATATGTTCTTTAAACATTTGATCTTACTATTTGATCCAGAATTAAATGCCAATGTTCATTTTCAGTTAACTTTTTAAAATGTATATTTTTATTGAATTTTTGTGCATTTTATACAATGCATATTTAGACACCCTCTTTTATCTGAGCCCACCCCCAAAGCCTGCCCACAGGATTTCATGCATTCTGTCATAATGTTAAGACCTTTCTAGTCAAGTTGTGTATCTAGGTGTCCCTCAGTGTGAGTTCATCCACTGGAGCCTGGTCTAGCATCATGCCCTTAAAGATCAACTCTCCCTCACCCAGCAGTGAATGGCTGCCCATAGACCATAAGGAAACAGAGACTTCGAAGCTTCTGGGAACTTGCTAATATAAACTTAGAGCAACTGTGATAGCATGCACAAGACCCATGCAAACTCAGTTAACTTTTCATGACTATTTTATGACTAATGTATCTCTTAAGTGATATGAGTCCTACTGATTTGAGGAAATAGTAGCTCTTTGATTTTAAAGCTAGTGTCTCATGCTTTAAAGTAATATACTTAAGTATCCTTTTCAGAATACTTTGTTAAACTTATGATTGTGCAAGTGTCTAAGGGTAGAATAAAGAGATCAGCGTTATGAATTACATGAACTCTGGATCTAGGCTGCCAGGGTTCAGATACCAGCTCTGTGTCAGTTAGCATCTGTGCCACCCGAGCAAGTCACTTAATCTCTCTATGCTGTAGTGTGCTCTTTGTAAATGGGATCGTGACACTACCTGCCTCATAGAATTATTGTAGAAATCAGATAAATTCATGTATGTACATAGTACAATGTTTAAAATATAAAGTGCCATATAATTGTTAGTTAAAATGAGTAGTTTTACTTATTATTACTATTAGTTTTAAGATAATATTCTAGTATAAATTCAAAATGCAGTGGGATTCTTTCTCTAAACCAATCATAATTGTAAATGAATTTCTAGTAATACTTACCTGTCCAGGCATGGACATTTGTGTGGGGAAAGGAAAGGAAGAAAGGTCATATGAAGTGTCTGCATCTTTTCTATTTCTCATCTCCCAGTGTCTGCATCTTTAAATATGCATGCTACAAAGATCTTTAGACTGAGTAATGATGCACAAGCTTAATGCAGTCAAAGGTGAACTGTTTTCAGTCAGCCATTCACTAAAGAATACTCACCTGATATGCTCTTACTATTTAGAATCACAAATTCAAAGTAGAGTGGCCTCCTAGATTAAAGCCTTTAACACATGATTGCGACATAGCGATCTTTAATCTGTGTCCTATGTATTCCAGCCAAGAAAAGATGGGGTGGCTTTTCATGACTGGATGCTACATGTTGTAATGTGAACTGTGGAGCATTTGGAAGCACAGATTCTATGAAAAGTGACCTAGGAAATGAGAAATAACTACTTCATCATGCAAGAAAGGGGCATTGTATGTTAGTAAGATGTTGGGGGCCAGGGGTTAGTGAATATTTTATCTTGGAAATGCAGTTAGAAAGACCACTGTATGTTCTGCACAAAGGCCTCTTGTGCTCCCCTCAGGGGATCCTGGAATTATTAATTCCTTCTTATATTTTTCCTGCAGTTTTGATATTCAAGTAGCAGGAACATCATTTCTTACAGTCTTCACTTTTTAACAATGGAATTCAGACTCTGTAGTTGGTTTTTTTTAGGCTGATGGATTTTTATTTTGGTATTTTCAGCTATTAAGTTTATTTGAAACATGCTTAGGTTGTTACCACTTTTCTTAGGAAAAACTAAAAGAAACGGAAGTAGAATTTTATTTTTATGGAAATAACCAGTTATTGTATTTTCTTTAACTGTAGTTTTAGGGTAGAAAAGTAAGCTTTATATGAATGGCGTTATAGTAGTTGAGAACATATACTACAGTTTTGATAAAATATTGGTAAGAATTCAAATAATTAAAACCTTATAATTTTGTATGTATTTTGACTTTTTGATAATGACATTTTCAGACCCTCTTTTCTTCAGTGTTTTAGAAATGTTTCCAAAGTATATGATTTTTGTATAATAGATACTCTGGTAATACTTATTCATGCATCTAGTAGACTTTTGTAGAACTTTATTCAATGAAATTGCTGTTGGTTTTTAATTATCACCTTACCTTCCTTTTAAAATTACATTTATTTGTTTTGTGAATTTGTCGGGTGGAGGAGGCACATTGGAGGAGGCCACAGTCTGCAAGTGGTAGAGGTCAGAGGACTACTTTCAGGAGTCTTTTCTCTCCTAATATGTGGGCTGCAGGTAGCAAAGTCAGATTGCCAGGCTTAGCAGCAGGTTCCTTTACCTGCTGAGCCATTTTGGAGGCACCACTGGGTTTGAACTCTAGCTTACCTAAAAAAAAAAAAAAAAAAGGTGTAGCACTAATGGATTAATGAAATTAATGAAAATAAATCTAAAACCTTCAAGTCTGAGATGTGAAAATGCAACACTGGGCTTTTCATAAGTCACAGTACTGAGCCGTGGTGCTGAGGGTGTGTCCCTTGATGGAACTGTGCAGATGTGTTCACCTTTTAGCAAGTGCTTATTATGTGGCTGTCAGAACTACTGATGAAAGCCAACAACTTTGTTCTTTTTTTCAAATATTTCCTTGTCATGAGACCAGATGTGGCACAGGTTGATGCTGCAAGATATTTAGCATGCTGACTGAAGATAATGGAGAGAGTACTAACAAAAACTCCCACCCAGGACTGCAGTGTGTGCTTACTAGTAGGGTGATTGTGTAGCATGTGCAAGGTCCCTAGGTTCCGTCCCTAGCACCACAAACAACAAAACAAAAACACATGCTGCATTGCTTTTCAGCTTTTTAAAATGTATATGTGTAATTTTCTGTGTATGGGTATGTGTACCTCAGTGCCAGTGTCAGGGCTTCTGGAAGAGGGCACTGGATCATTGGGAGCTAGAGTTACAGATGATTGTGAGCTGCCTAACATGGGTACTGGGAACCAGCTCTGCTCCTCTGTAAGAGGAACAATCACTTTTCACTGCTGAGCCATCTCTCCATCCCTGTTCTTAATTTTTTTTTGTTGTCGTTGTTTGAGACAGTGTCTCCCTATAGCCCCAACTGGCTTGGAACTCACTATGTAGACCAGGCTGGCCTTGATCTCACAGAGATCCACCTGCCTGGGCCTTCTGAGTACTAGGATTAAAGGTGTGTGCCGGCATAGCTTAGGTTCTTAAACTTAGGAATTCCTTCTTTGTGAAATAGGATTGTTCAACTTTTTTCATAGAGACATTAAAACATGACTACACATAAAACATGATGACATTTATGAATATATTCATATGTGGAGTGGAAGGAAAATCAGTCTGACAAATGATCAAATGAGCTGACCCACCCTGCCTCTCCACTCTAGGAGGCCAATACATCTATCTCAGAACACATAGCGTCTAGTTCCTTATCAAAAGACGTGGTTCCTTACCAACCACCTTGCAGAAGATACCTGGTGGTTCCCCTATCAAAACTCCCCATCTCTCCTTCCCAGATCTCAGGAAGGTGAAGGATACCACCAAGAAGTCACAAGCCATCGTCTGGGATTTTGGGAAGGCACAGCCCCCTTTCTGAGATTTTCTGGGCCCACATATAAATCCCAGAACCCCCCCCCCCAACTCAACATACAACCTCCATTCCCGAGGGAATGTTGCTTGCCCCTCATAGCTAATAAAACTATTTGTATATGTTGAGGTCAGTTTCTACTTCTTTATCACTTCACATTTTAATTCTGAGTTCTAACATGGAGAAAAAAAATCCTTTACTTTTCAGTTTTTTCGAAATTTCATATAAAAAGTAATTCAGAGTAAGTGAAAACATTGACTTGGGGTTGTATCTAATTAACCTCTTAAAAAAACCCACAACATTTTTCTTATCCATATTAATTTCTTAAATGTTTTTAACTGAACTGAGATTAAAATATGAATCCTGGTTATAATACCAAGAAGGAAAATGATTCCTTTTTAAACTTACTTACTTTTAACTTACTTAATTGAAAAATAATTATATCTACTTATGTAGTCTATGTATACATTGTAGATTCCCGTTAGGTTTTTGGGGTACAGAATGCAAGAACAATAGGAGAGAAAAAAAGAGACGATACCCGCCCTCAGACAAGACTGAGTTCATTGAAGCACCTCAGTGAGGGTGTTTCCAGCAGCCTTCCCACTTGCTGGAAGTGACTATTGCCTTGGGGGAGGGGCCATTGGGGCTTAAATAGGTCATAGCTGTGGCTGGCTGACTACAAGAGATCAGGGGCACCCTTGAGATGTTTATGGCTCCCTTATGGTTCCCTTTTTCCTGGCACTGTTGCTCTGGTTTATCTTGAGACAGAGAGAGTTTATGATCTCTTCTTGGGACCATTTTCTCAAGGAGACAGGCTGTCTCAACAAACAGTCCTCCCAGGAGGGAGGGAAGTGACTGATTGATAAGGCAGCTTTCTGCAAATGGGGTATTCTGTCATTCCAGACCCTGAAGATATGAAAAGAAGAATGGGGGGGGGCATCCTTTTCCTTTTAACCAAGAACAAGTCTTCAGGTGGAATGGAAGGGGAGCATAGCTTTAATTTGGTCTCAGGTAACCATTAATTAAGCATAGTAAGTATGAGAAGGGGATGGGCAGATGAGCTGGTTAGTGCAGTTCTCATTCCAGGTGTCCAGGTCTTTTGAGGTTTTGGTCATATCCTCAGTGTCATTCAGGAATAGGCTATTACTCTAGGAAAAAGAGATAGATATGGAAAAAAAAAATCACCAGAACCCCTCCCCAGCCTCTAGCTATAGTAGAGACATCTTTGGATTAGATGGTTCTGACATCCCTAGCCTCAGGCTGTCTTGAGAAACAGGCTGTCTCAACCAACAGTCCTCCCAAGAGGGAGAGAAATGGCTGATTGATTATTAGACTTTCTGCAACCTGGGCATTCTATCAGATTCAGTCAAAATAATTAACATTACTGTATCAACTTAACTTTTTGTGATAAAAATCTATTCTATCAGCTTTATTCTCTATTTGCTGTGGTTACCATGCAATACAGCAGTCATCGACTACCGAAGCTCTGTACTTTGGTCATCACTCTCCCTTTTCCCATCCCTCCCCCTCTCTTCTACTCTCAGGAAGCACCATTTTACTCTTCATTTTTCTGAGTGCAACTGTTTTTCATTCTTTATATAAGTGAGATCATATTTACCTTCACTTTCATTTACTAGTTTGCTGTCTTCTTTCTACAATGCCTAAGTCAAGGCAAGCTGCCGCAGTCTAGTAAAGCTCCCAACACTAGTTTCTTTTTAGATTTTTATTTGTGTGTGTGTGCGTGTGCGTGTGCGTGACACACAGGCATGTGGATATAGAGGTCAGGGGACAAGTTGCGGGAGTTGCTTCTCTTCTTCCACCACTGAACTCAGGTTAGGAACTCAGGCTTGAAGGCTGTTACCTTTGCCTGCTGAGCCACCTCCCCAGATGTTCATTTATTTGCTTTCATACTTACTTTCTCTTCCTCTTACGCACATACCTTTCCTGTACAGATACATTCCTGTTCCGTTTGGGTATGAGATGCAGACTTGAGGACATCTCTTCTTAAATAACTTTGCCTAAAAAAAAATCCTACATTACCACAACCCACTTTTCTCATACTTAAGAAGTTTAACACTATTATATCATGATAGTACAGTTCAAAGTCAAGTTTCCATAGTTATTCCAGTCAACTGTTTTGTGTGTCTTTTTGGATGAAGAATTTGATTAAGGACCACACATGGCTTTTTAAATTTTTTATTTATTTTTATTTTACATGCATGAGTATTTTGTCTACATGTATGTGAGTGTGTCCATGTGTGCAATGCCCAAAGCAGCCAGAGGAGGGTGTTGGATTCTATTGGAACTGGAGTTATGGATGGTTGTTAGCTGCCATGTGAGAACTGAATCCAGATTCTCTGCAAGAGTAGCCAATGTTCTTAACTGCTGAGCCATCTCTCCAGCCCTCATACATTGCTTTTGGTTGTCATTTTATTTAGAACAGTTCATCTAAAGCAGTTCGTTTATCTTTTTCCCCCTATTTCATAGTATGGACGTCTTTGAAGAGTCCTGGCTACTATTTGTAAAGGTTCACAATTTGGACTTGACTGTTTCCTCATTAATGAAGGCAGGTTAGACAGTTTTTGAAGACTATGATAGATGATTCATCCTTTGTATTGGAATACATTTAGAGACTTGGAAGACCAATTTGTTGCATTACTGTATTTCCTAAAGCAGTTCATGGTTAAGGTAGTGACTGTCAAGAGTCACATGTCAGGAAGATGCTCTATTTTCTTTGCCACTTCCGCCATCAGTACAGGATTTACAGTTGCCTTCACAGCCTTGTGAGTGGATGGTATTCCAGGCATTCCAAGTGAGTGCAGTGCTCATCTTGTTATGGTTTTAGTTTGCCTCTTCCTGATTGGTACCGACTTGGAACACTTTTCATGTGGCTCATGCTGTGAAGTGCCTTTTAAGTCATTGCTCATAAAAAGAAAAAAGAGCTGCAGTGAGTAATTTTTTCTCAATATATGGAAACTCCAAGAATTCTGCAGTTCCTTGTAGACATGTTCTGCAAACACCTTCTCATAGTGATAGCTTTTCTTTTTATCCTTCTTGGGGGTCTTCAGTGAACAAAAGGTCTTACTTAATTTTGAGGAAATTCAATTTGTCAGTATTGGGATCATAATCCTTTTTTTTCAGTCTTTTATGTCCAAATTAAAAAACAAAACAAAACAAAACTTTGCCTGCTGCAGAACGTAAAGCTTTTCTCGTGATTTCTTCAAGAAACTTAATTGGCATGGTTTTTGCATTTTGATCTGTCATGTAGAATTTTAGATATAGTATGAAGTAGACTTAAGAGTTTCCCCCTTTCTCCTTCACTGTCCCTGTATAGATGTGTCCAGTTTACCTAATGCCATTTGTTAGGAACATCAGTCTTTCCACCAAATTATAGTGGTTCTGTTGTTATAAACATGGTAACTTAGCTGGGCGTGGTGGCACATGCCTTTAATCCCAGCACTTGGGAGGCAGAGGCAGGCGGATCTTTGTGAGTTCGAGTCCAGCCTGGTCTATATAGTGAGTTCTAGGACAGCTGGGGCTACAAGGAGACCCTGTCTCAAAAAGACTAAATAAATAAATAAGGTAAGTTGAGAGTCCAAGTTTGTTTCTAGACCCTCGGGTCTATTTCCTTTGTCTATATCTTGGTCTTTAAACAAGTATCATATTTTTTAGATAGTTTAGTTTTATAAGCTTGATATGTGATATTAAAAATCTTTACTGTTGCTGTTCTTGGTTTTCTGTGTTTCCTCCTAGATTGTAGAATCAGCTCATCTCTCCTACTCCCTCCCCCAACACATACACAGGCCAGGATTTTAATTTAGATGGTTTTGAATCTATAGGTCCATTTAGGGAGAATTACCATCTTAAATGTATTGGATCTTTTAATCCATACATATTGACATATCTACTCATTTATATCAATCTGATTTAACTTCTCTCAGCAGTGTTTTGTGTCTGTATGACTTTTTTGAGATTAATGCCTAAGTATTTTGATTATTTCTCTACCTTCCCTTATCTCCTTCCCACCCCTGTCAACCTTCCACCTCCTCTTACCAAGTCCCTTTCCTATATTCAATGCCTTTATGCTTTACGGCCCACTAAGTATGTCACCATGGGTTTGGAATTATCCATTGGAGCCTGGTGGGCTTGACAGTGGGTACATAGCTACAATGACTGCCCCTCCCCCAGAATCCATCAGTATCTACTAGTTCAGCTGGGAGACTTGGGCCCCATGAGTTGACAGGACCAGTCTTGTGCAAGCAGCCTTCTGTGGTTGCTGTGAATATGTTACACCCAGAAGATAGCATTTCACAGCCTTTTTCCATCTTCCAGCTTTAACATTCTTCCTATCCCATCTCCCGCAGTCTTCCTTGAGTCCTAGAGGAGGTGGTATAAATGTCTTGTTTAGGTCTGAACAGTCACTTATTTTTAGCCTTGGGCAGCCTTGAGTCTCTGCCTTTACTTGCTATTCATTGCATAGAGAAGCTTCTGATTAAGGCTAGAAGTAACAGTTCTTTTGGTATTTTTTTTTCAGTCTTTGAACAGTCTGTTTTTGGCACAAAAAGATATCCCAGAATCACCTCACCCCATGATACAGAGTTAGCTGTTTTCACAGTATCTTGTATCCTATTGGTGGGAAATGACACTTAGAGATCACAGTCTGGGCTATAAATATTTCCATCTTCTCCAGCACTAAACATGTCTCTGTGCTAGGAACATTCATGCTCTCCTAGTTATTTTGTAATGTGTCATTGATTGTTGTGACCAATAGTTACTCAGCTTCTAGCCATCCCACTCCTGATATATCTCCAAAGAATATGAAATTATTTCATCAAAAAAGTTAACCTGCACTCGTGTGTTCACTGCCGTACCATTCACAATATGCAGACTGGATCCAACAACAACAGGTTTATGGATGGGCAAATGATTAAAGAAAATGTGGCCTGTGTGCTTCTTATGTGTCTTAAGCCTTATGTGCCTCTTCTTAGTAATGCCTCTCACTTCCCAGTGTTCCTATTTGTAGAATGCCCAGTAGCTTGTTTATACTATGTCGTTAAAGTTGCATGTGGGCAGTTCTTCTCTAGATGTTTGTAGATAATCCTCCATCACCTGGCACATCTTGCTGAACCAAGGGAGCGGTGTGTCATGTGCTCTGTTCTTTTTTCAGTGTACCCGTGTGATGTGGACGCCACCCCTCCGGGAAAGCTTCTCATATCCATTCCTTGTCCTCCAGATGCTGCTTGTGACTCATATTCTCAGGTGACTTTCACTTCTTCTTAGGTTGGAGTTTTATTTTCCTTTGAATAACAAGCTAGAATTACATAAGTTTCAAAAAAAAAAAAAAGACTTTCTTAAGTTTCCACAATAAAAGTTGGCATAATAGATTAAGATGGTCTTGTTATGATGAATTAATAAAGATGCTTTAGAATTGTACTTCGAAAGATACTGAGTACCAGAGACATTTCCTTAGCCTGCCGTCTGCTCCTCCTCTGTATTCTTGGTGGTCCATGTGACTGCTCAAGGAGAGCGAATCCACTTTACTTCTGCATCTCCATGTCGCCAAGTCTCTTTTACCACTTCTGCTGCCAAAAATAAGGGAGAAACTGGCTGTGCTGAACCTCATCCTGTTAGATTTAGTCCTTTGGAGCAAAGAACAGATCATAGAATCATGCTAGTCAGGAGCATCAACACATGAGGTTTGTTCTGATTTTCATTTAGCATCTCTGAATGTTAGATGGTAGTGATAGAAACAGCCTAAATAGACTGAAGATTTACTTGATTTCCTGTTAGAAATCCAGGATTGAATTAGGGTTCACTGTGTTTGGCAGGTCTTTAGTTAAGAGTCAGTACAGGTTCAAGCACCACTGAGAAGGAATAAGAGCAGTTCTCCTTTCGGTCAACATGTACTAAGTTTAGATGTGCACTGCCTTGATCTAGAGGGTGAACATAAAATGGGGTCTGTGACAAACAGATCAAAGCATGCTAAAAATCCAAAGCTCTCTTGGCCTGGGAACTCCCTTCAGTGATCTATTGAATTTGGAGGAACTGTGTAAGTCTGCTGTGCTAAAGCCTTTGGGCAGTTTCCCTCTGTAATGATAGCAGGTGTAGAGCCCTTGCTCTGCTTCCAGGCTCGTATGTAGTGTCATCAGACAGACCTTTCATGGGTCAAGTGGGTGGTGGCTTTTATAGACAAAATTTTAAAAGTCAACCCCAGCCTTGGCCTGTTCTCCAAGTCCTTTTATTATAGAATTTAATGTTTCTTTAGGAACTTCAAATGAGGTACACCCCTATGAATTTGTAACTTTCAGTTCTGCCTGTTAGTTGTGGGGCTCCAAAAAAGAGCTTCTCTAGACGCTCTGGAAGAAGTGCTGCACTGTAAGCCCATCTTCAGTTCCCCTGTAGAGGCTGTTTTGCCCCCTCCACATGGTCATTCTTGGCTCTTTTCTCCAGTGTGTACCGACACTAGATGGTTCAGGAGTCTCTAGTTCCTGCTTTGCTGAGCTTCTGCTTCTCTTAAGTATGGTGAGGACAGACCTTTGCTTTTCACACTCCTCCCCCAGTGGAGCTGACCTGTCAACTGTGGTAGCGGCTTCTCAGGTGGCCGAGCTTGTATCCTCTAATACACGCTTACCTGTGTGCTGTGGGAGGAAGTGCTAGTTCCTCATGCTGTGGGCAGTAGTTACTACAGATCGAGTTATCACCTTACATTTCTCTAGGTCAGAAGTCCTAAACTGCAGGTGCTGTCAGGGCTGCCCTCCTCCTGGAACCTCAGAATCAGTTTCCTTGCTCTCCTAGCCTGTTTCTTGCCTCATGTTCCCTTCCATCATGAGAGCCAGTAATGGAAGACTGGGTCCTTCTCCGCAGGTTCACAGCTCCCTCCTCCGTTGCCTTTCTTCCATTTCTAAGAACTCTGTGATTACATTATGCTCACCTGGATAATCCAGGGCCATCGCCTTCTCCTTAGGTCAGGTGACTAGACATCTTAATTCTCCCATTGGGCTTAGTTTCCCTTTGCCATATCCTATAACATAGTCATGGGCTCCAGGGATTCAGACACACATTCTGCTCACCTCATTTGCTATTCCTGCAATTTTCTGTGGGTTCCTCTTTGAGTTTTGCTCAGGGTGTTTCTGTGGGAGTCATTGTCATGCTCAGCCCTCGTACTCTGAGTATTTTTTTCTCTGCTTTTAGGAGACTCTGTTTTCTTTTTTCAGCCTTTGATCTGCTCTCTCTCATGGTTGGCACCTTCCTTCACAAGCTCTTGCCTTGCTGCTGTGGTGCTTTTGGTTCAGATTCACGGCTGCTGCTCCTCCTCCTTGCCAGCTTCACCGGCACCTCATCGCTTCTTTTGGGACGGCTTCCTCGATTTCATTCCTGGGTTGGCATGCTCTCTTGTCTGTTGTAGCTGCCACTGTGGCTAGTGTGATGGGTTCCTGGAAGTGTGAGGCTGCTTTCACTTTGCGAGTTGACAGCTGCAGTTTTGATAGCTGCGGTCATGGCCGGGCAAGTCACATTCCCCAGCCTTCTTGCCTTTCTTCCCAAGGATGACAGCCTCGTCTCAGCTGCTCAGCTCTGCTTCTTTCTCCTTTGGAAAAGTAGCCGTGCCCTCTACTTGGATTCCACCTGTAATAAATGCCTTACTACTTCAGGGACAGGGCAGGTGAGTAGATGAGGCAAAAAGCAGCCGGGCAGAGTTGACAGGGCCTGCAGTGCTGAGCAAACTGTTAGAAAACTGGAAAGGATTCATGCTTAAGGCCAGGGATCATGTAGAAGTCAGGTGAGAAGGGCATTGAATTTTAGCCAATCGTTTTGTACAGTTTAGAATTTTAAATGTTTTTGAGCATTTAGTTTTCCAAAAGTGACCTTATCCCCACCCCACAGTGTCAGCGTTCTCTCGATTATTCTTGGCAATGTTTATGTTTTCATTTCTGCTGTCTTGGGTGAGTGGTGAATCGATGAGACCATTGCCAGCTGGAGATCCTTTGGTTGCTTTTGGTTCTTATTTCTTCTGAGAGCATTCTGTACCTAGCTTCCAGGTAGTATTCAGTTCTCTTCCAAAGGCCAGAGTGTCCCTTGTTACCTGTTAAATGACTATCAAGCCTGGTATTCAAAAGCAGTAGAGAAATGCTTTACTGTAGGATAGTGGCTTTCAAACCATTGACTGTGATCTATTCTGTAAGAAGTATATATTTCACAGTGGCCCAGCACACAGGCAAGCACACAACTGGAGCTGCAGTTTCACAGAATGGAGCCATATGTAGGGTGCAGTCAGACCTAGAAGTTTGTTCTCCTTCCCCCATTGAAAGTCCCAGGGCTTTGTCTAGTTATTGATGGTTTAATTCATCAATAGGTTTCCTGTAGTCTGAGAATACTTGGGTTAGATTAGAGTAGCAAAGAAGGGCTATTCCTTGGGGAAGAGGTAGTTCGGGAAGATACTCCATGATGGTTCCATGTACTGCGTTAACTTATTCCAAGGTGTATTTTGTGAATTTGAGCTGCTGTCTTCTAACATTGGTGTTTTAATATGCACACTGCACTTCTGTGGAGATGGTGCACATGCTTAAGGACCTGAGGCTAGTTCATAGATTGGGGAGCAAAGGTGAATGGCTCCTGCTTCTGGAAATCTCCTAAAGAACAAATTCACCAGTATGTCACCTCTCAAGGTAGCTCTAGGATGGCACCTGCCTTTGCCTCCACTTCTTTTTCCCATGGCACACCTGCAGAAGACCCCTCTCAAATCTCTTTCAATTACTCACTCTTATCCTGTAGTGCTCATCTGTACTGCTGAGCACATGGATGTGCCACTCTCTGTCATTTCTCATGGATATCCTCTGGATCTCCAGCTCCTGAATGTATTGACTCAGCATTTAAAATGTCTAGTTGTGGGATCACCAAAATATAATTTGATAAAATGTAATGACTGTGCTCACCTGGCTTCACCCCTGTCTTTGGCAGGGCTTTGTGTCTTTACAGTAATAATAGGTATTTACTTTTTATAGAAAATTATTGTAATTGAGTATCAGAAGTTATAATTCTAATTCATGGTCTCATTTTATGTTCAGTTTATATTATAACCAAATGATGCTTGAGATTCTGATTGGCAGCAGCTTGCAGCCATCCTAAGCTATTTTGTAGTTAAACTTCCTGTTATTTATTTTATCTTTTCAAGGGCTACAAAACTTCACAGGGGAAGCTTGATTGCACTCTGCATTTCCAATATCTTTTTCATGCTTCCTTGGCAATTTGCTCAGTTTGTGCTTCTTACTCAGGTAAGGTGACCACATTTTTAACATATTTAAGCTTAGTTTTTCTATATGAGCTCATTTGTATAAAAATATAACTGAGATGTTTTATGAGTCCAAGCCTAAGACTTTTCTAGTTAATGCTTTTAAAGAAAATGCACAGTATGAATCTCTGTGAGATTTAATTATTAATGAATACTATTTACTAGTAGAACTCAAGTTTGTAAGAGTATACATATCTTTGTTACTCAACAATTGTTAATATGCTTGAAAGACAACTACTGCTTAACCTTAAGTACTTCTAAATAAAATAGGTTTCTTTTACAAATAATGCTTTCAATTATTTTTAACTATATTTAATATTCACACATGCATATAATGTTTTGATCAAATCCACCCTCATTCCCTCTCCTCCAGTTACTCCCTTATCTCCACCACCACTTTTCCATCCCAACTCCATGTGCTCTCTATTTTTTAAAAAATAACCATGGAGTCCATTTAGTACTGCCTGTATGTACATGGGTGTGAGACCACCTACAGAGTATCTGTAGCCTCTCAGGGGCTGTATCCCTGAAAAATTTGACTCTTCCAGCAGCCATCACTTGCAAATAGCTCCTCAGATTGGAGCGACTGTCATGAGCCACTCCCCATCCATGTTGGGATCTTGACTGGCTGCCTTAAATTCTTACATGTAGAGTAAAATATATGTAGGCCAACAGAATAAATAGCTGGTAAGTTCATACTTGATTCAACTCCCCTAACTATCTGTAAATTATCATCTTTCTTTGTGTTCTTCCTTCCCCTTTCCTGGTATATAAAGCAAGATAGTCTGCTGAGAGAGGGAGCATCTGGTGGGGTCAGGTTTTCCTCATCTGCAGTGGTGCAGTGCTACATTACCGTGATGCCTGAGCAAAGAACCTAACTCTTAGCATCCACTTAAACCAAGAGTGGGGCCCAGACTGTTTTGAGAATTTGTTCCTTTAAATTTCTCCCAGAACTGTGTTTTCAAACAAAGACCTTGCTTTCTCTTTATTGAAACCATATGTCCAGCATGAATTGGGGAAGGAAAAGCAGAATATTTTTATCAGGGAATTTTCCCTTTCTGACCCCTACTGATCTAGAGTAGCATACACAGCTACAAACGTTATATGCCTGTTGTTTGCAACATAAATGGGATAATCCCTTGCTTTTAATGAATATTTGCTGCTTGCGGCCCTTAATATTTTCACAGCACACACACACACACACACACACACACACACACACACACACACACCATTCTGGGTCAAGGACAATAAAGGGTCATGAAGTAACCTGTATGTTTAGTTTACAAGAGGAGCCTGTGCCTGAGATAGTATCCAGAAGTCGTTCCCAGAGTAGCCCCTTGTTTGTTTTATTCATTCAAAGTATGTTTATGTTGTAACAGAAGGGATTCCCTGAAACATCATTCCCACACTCACTTGCTCTTTTTTTGATTATGTGTGTCATATTTGAATAAAGCGATTGGAGAGATGCTTTTTAATACTCTTGGGATGTCTTGCTTTATATGGGAAGGTAGACCTGGATTTAAATCTTAACCATTCACTGGCTTCTTGGAGGTTAAAAAAACCTTAACTTCTTTTTCTTTTAAATTTTATTAAATTTTTGTATATTTCATATATAAAATCATCATTATATCCTCTTCCCCTTTGGCACCCTTTTTGTTCCAGTTTTATCATTTCTAAAATAGATAAATGAAATGGAAGCACCTACTTCATTATGTGGTAGATAGTATTAGATGAGATAGTGTAAGACTTACAACATAGTACCTGGTATTCAGCCAGATGTCAGTAAGTTTGACTGTCTTATTTTTTGAGACAAAGTCTTGCTATGTAGTCCAGGCTGACCTCAGACTGATGGTCCTTCACCCTCAGCCTCCTGGGTGCTGGGATCACTGGCATGTTTCATCCATGGGCCCTGTTACTTGCCTTTATCATTATTTAAAAACAAACCAACAAAAAATAGGTTGGGTTTGTAGTTACATCTTTTATGATGTTATCTTTTAGATTTCTTTGTCTTTAGTTTGATTCCATTTCACACTACATTTTGAGTTGAGTTCTCTGAAATTCTCTCTGAAATTCTACTCTGTATATAAGTGTGCCATGTATGGCTTTGTTGCTGGGGTGACAAGGGGCCTTCAAGTTGCTTCCAGTAGGTGGAGATAGCCTTTTTTTTTTTTCCTTAAGTAAAAAAGACAGGGTCTCCTTGTATCCCCAGCTGGCCTACAACTCACTGTATAGACAGGGCTGGCCTCAATCTCACAGATATCCACTTGCTTTTGCCTCCAGAGTATTGGGATTAAAAGCATGCCCCACCAGGCCCATTCTGATGGCCTGCCTGCTTTTATGTGGGGGAAGTGAGGAGGAAAGAGATGTGCGTTCCGGCTCTTTGAGGGCTTTTGCAGAGTAACAGGGTACACTTCCCTGTGGCTTCCTTTCATAAACTCACCCTTGAGCAATGCAGTCTCCCATGGCTAGCTGGATAAAGGAAGCCCTATTTTCTTATCAGCAGGGAAAGTTCGTTGTAGATGACTTAGAAATTAAAACAAGAACAAAACTCACTGGTTGGAACTTATTTAGCTGTTGTTCAGGTTTTTATTATTGTTTGTGTATTCTGAGAGGCATAGACTTTAACCTGAATGGAATTCTCTGTGAAGAGGGCGAGAGACACTGTCTGAAGTGATACCTCTTTACAAGAGCCACAGTATCATCATTTAATCAACAAATCCATTTGAGTCCAGTAATTTCAGAATTCTTGATAGATAACATTTTCAGAATGGAAAAAGTTAGAAGTACCTTTGTATTAAAAGTATTCTTTCAGATTTGAAACTTGATAAATTTGATTGTAATCAGCATGTGAATATTTATATCAATTATACATAATGTTAATGAAAGTACTTATAATGACTAACAGGAAGAAATTAATGTGCTTTTACTTAAATACACAATACCTAATTATTTTTTAGTTTAATGTGCCTTCTGTAATTATGTATTACTGGTCATATTATAATTACATGTTCATGTGTTTGATTGAATAGAGAACTTTTTAATTGTACATGTTGACAGTAGAGTCAGCCTGATACTAAAATCGGTGCTATTTTGGATAATCTGCAAAGTAATTCCACAAAGCTACCCATTAGGAGAACTGTCTAGGGAGAGATAAGTTTTGTTACTATATAGACCACATTCAATAACAAATTGACAGCTAAAAGGAAGACTGAGGAACTCACATTCTGGATAAAGAGAAGCAGTTTGAAGCAGTAATACAGCTCCTCTTGTTTTTATTCTTGTAACTACTCACTGTATATATGATTTTTGGTTTTAACAGTTTACTTTTCAATTTCAGATTGCGTCATTGTTTGCAGTGTATGTTGTGGGATACATAGATACATGTAAATTACGGAGGATCATTTATATACACATGGTAATGCTTCTTATTGTTTATTTTCTTCTTTTGACCTTAAACTCCTGATTAATATCTGATGATTTAGTGATTGTGGAAACTAGTTGTAAAATGATTCTATAATGAAGAAAAGTGTCATTCAAACAGTGTAATCTAGTCAGACCTTATTTTAAATAGGCTACCCAGAAAACTTTAATTTGTTATCTCATTACCTGATTGCCATTGTGCCCAGCTTTTACATTTTCAGTAAAAGGCACTCAGTAAAGAGAAAACATGAAGTGTTCATAGCCCACCTGTGGAGCCATCTGTTAAAATGAAGTGAAATATTCATTCACTGGGTATGTGGGACACACGGGCTTATGACCAGAAATGTAGAGACCATACAATTTGTGCTTTTGACCTAATAGAGAGGGAAATTATAAATTGTATAGCATGTTGAAAGGTGATAAAATTAAAGATAGAAAGAAAGAAGAAAGAGAGAGAGAGAAAGAAAGAAAGAAAGAAAGAAAGAAAGAAAGAAAGAAAGAAAGAGAAAGAAAGAGAGAGAGAGAAAGAAAGAAAGAGAAAGAAAGAAAAAACCAACCAACCAGCAGTCAGTTTAGGGCAGATCAAGAGTACAAGGTTAGGGCTGGGAGATGGAGGTCTTGAATGAGGTGCTCAGCTGGGTTGAGACGGAATAGGATAGAGGCTGGGATGCAGACAGGGAAGCAGGCAGTAGGTATCCCAGAGAAGAATGTTCTAGTTAGGTAGAACAGCAGCAGGAGCAAAGGTTCCAGAGCTGGATGGTTGATGCTGATTGAATGTTTGTCCTTCGAAAACATTTGTCTACTCTCTGTCAATTCAGTGTAGACTTGATGTGTAGCAAACCTTTACTTTTTGAGGAACCTAATCCGTTTTCCTCATTCTCAGCAGTAAGGTACACAGGTCCTAGTGTCTCCATCCTAGTGAGTATGAGTTAGATATCTCATTTTGAGGTTTATTTGGTTTTTTTGGAGACAGGGCCTCTCTTTAGCCTTGGCTGTCCTGGAACTTGCTATGTAGAACAGGCTGACCTTGATCTCCCAGAGCTCTGCCTGGTTCTGAGTGCTGGGATCACAGGCACGCCTACCAGCCAGCTGGTAGTTTTGCTTTATGCAGAATGTCATGTATTTGGAATCATACAGCATTTATTCTTTTTCAGATATGATTCTTTCACTTAACCAAAATGCAATGAAGTTTACCCTTTTTGTTGCTTGATAGCTCATTTCTTCATAGCTCTGAATAACTTTTTGATTTCTTTGGATATGTCACGGTTTTATCCTTTCACCTACTGAAGGACATTTTGATTAATTCCAAGTTGTTGTAGTTATGAATAAAGCTGTTATGAACATTTGCCTGCAGGCTTTTATGTAGATATGTTTTAAATTCATTTGGAAAATACCAAGGAATGTGATTGTTGATTCATATGATAACAGCATATCTAGTTTTTAGGAACTTGTCAAACTGTCTTCTGTAGTAGCTGCACCATTCTGCATTCCAGCAAGAAGAGCCAGGGAGAGAGGAAAGAAGGCAGTGGGGAGAGAGGGAGAGAGAGGGAAATAGAGGGAGGGAGAGAGGGAGGTATCCTCATGTTGCTATTCTCTTGAGCCTTTGGTGGTACTGTCTTTGGACTTTATTCTAACAGATAGTGTATTGGTTATTTTAGGGTCACACTTTGGTTGATCATACTTGCATGTTTATTTGTATCTGTGTATCTTACTTGGTGTGGTATTCAGGTATTTTGTCTTTTTTTCATTTAGTTGTTCATTTTTTTAATTGAGATTTAATAATTCTTCATATATTTTGGATAGCAATCCTTTATTAGATATGTCTTTGTTTTAAAAGCTGGTACTGGGACTTGAACTAAGAAATATATATGCTAGTAAGGTGTGCTATAACCCGAGCTCAAATATATCTTTTATGAATATTTTTCTCCTAGTCTATGTCTTGTCATTCTTTTGACTTATTTTTGATCCGTTTTATTTCTTTCTTTATGTGTATGTATGGGTATGTGTATGTACATGTATGCACATGCCCACAGAGGCCAAAAGAGGGCATCAGATCCTTGTAGCTGGAATTACAGGTCATTGTGAGCTGCCCAATGTGGATACTGGGGACTGAACTCCAATCCTCTGCAAGAGCAGCAAACACTCTAAACCACTGAGCCGCCTCTCTAGCTCAAAATTTTTAACTTTAATGTGATCCATCGTGCTTATGTTTTTGTGGGTCATACTTTTCATGCTTCAGCAGAAGTCCTCACCATACCTAAGGCTGTCTATTGGAAGACTTTCACCAGTGCTGTGTAGTTATCTCTTTATAGAACTTGTGCATATTTTGTTAGATTTATACATAGTTCATCTTTTTGGGTGTTAACTATAAATATCAATGTGTTATTAATTTCAAATTTTACTTAATTCATTGCCGGCACAATGGAAAGCAGTTGACTTTTGTACAGTTACCCATATCTGGTCTTGTTCTAGTTACTGATTAGTTCCAGGAGTTTGTTGATTCTTTTGAATATTCTTCACAAATTGTCATGTCACCTATAAAGATAGTTTTATTTCTTTCTTCCCAGTCTTTACACCTTTTCTTACTGTATTGTCTAAGGCTTTTTGAGAAGCAGTAGTGGGAGGAAACCTTTTTGCCTGGCTCTTCTTCTGATCAAGAAAGCTTTAAGTTACCCCAGATTAGCTAAGATACTGTCCATATGGATTCTTATATCTATATTTTTGTCTAGTTGAGGGAATTTCCTTTTTAACCCAGTTTGCTGAGGGTTTATTTTTAAACATGAATGGATATTGAACTTTGTCGAGCAATTTTTCTTTGCCTATTTTATTCTTTAAGCTGTGGATATGATAGACTGATTGGTTTTCAAATGCTGAATCATTTTACATATGAGGGATGAATCAACATGGTTCTGATACCTGATTACTTTAAGGCATTGTTCAGTTTGATTTGTTGATATTTTGTTGAAGTTTTTTTCTTTTTCTTACCTATGTTTTATTGTGAGGTGACTGAGTTAGAATTAGGGTACTGTTGTCCTCATCAGGTTAGGTGAAAGGTTGTCCTCAGCTTCCATCTTCTAGAAGAGAGTGTTTCTTCCTAAAAACAGAATTCTCTAGCATATTTCAGAGCAGTAGTACTTTTTCTCCTGCTAGAAGCATAAAGAGATTTTCCTCTGATGGAGCTCTTAGAGGTGAAAATCACTAAAATGTAGGTGCCTCCCTCTGGCTGGGATCACTGTGGTTTTCAGCTCTAGGAGTTGTCCTCCTGAGCTTCCATCTGTCACCAGCACAGTCCAGGTCTCCCTGTCCCTGGGTTGTTCCCTGGGAGTTGAGATTATCTTAGACACCTGTCTGTCTCTTTCTGAGGCAGATTTCCCTTTGACCTTGCATCTCTGTCAGACACAAAGCTGTGTTTTCCTTATTGCCAGGCCTGGTGGTAATTTTCTGAGTTCTTCACCTGTGGGGCCCTCTTTTCGACTGAGATGCATTTCTTTGATGATAAGTTATAGCAAGCATCTTGTTTCATGTATTTGTTGTTACTTTTGTATCTTTGAAAAATGTCATTTCAAGTTGTTCATTTTCTTTCTTTTTTGTGTTGAGTTTTAGGAGTTATGAATATATTCTGGATATCAAATCCTTATTAGGATTTGAGTATCTTCTCATTCCTTAGGTTGACTTTTCATTCTCCTGTATTTTGATGCACTGTGATTATTAATTTTTTATTCTTAATGTATATTTTTATTGAATTTTGTGTATTTCATACAGTACATCTTAATCGTATTTAGACCCCCCTCCCCCCCGTAGCTTCCCCCACCGGATTTCATGCATTCTGTCATATATGTTAAGGCCTATCAAATCAAGCATTTGTACCCAGATGTCCCTTGGTGCAAGTTCATCCACTGAGGTCTAGTCAGCCTACCTAGAGTCAACCCCTTAAATAAGATCAACTCTGTTCACCCAGCAGTAATCAGTTGCCAGTAGTTCCTTGACGAAGGTTGAGGCCTGCTGATTATTAATTTTTATGTCCTCTAATTGGACTTTTCCTGTTGTCTGTGCTTTTGGTGTCATACCTAAGAAATCCAGTGACGAAGCTTTGAGAATTTTACCATTTCAGCTCTTGTGTTTAGGTGTTGAGTCTATTTTGAGTTAATTATTGCGAATGACATTAGGTAACGGTCCATGCTCATCTAATTTCCCAAGCACTTGTTTCTTGAAAATGTTATCTTAGCTCCATTGGCTGATGCTTGAATTCTTGTATATAATCATTTGTCCATATATTCTGGGGATTATTTATGGGCCCTGTGATCAGTTTCCTGGTCTACGTGTTGTCTTTATTCCTGTTCTGTATTGTTTTGATTACGTTAGCTTTATAGTAAGCTTCGAAATCAATAGGTCTGCTTTTAATGTTTGAGTGTTTTTGCATGTATGTATGGCACACACTATGTGCATGTAATGCCTATTGAGGCATTGGAACTGCTGGAACAGAATGTCATGAGCTACCATGTAGGAACTGGGAACCAGACCCAAGTCCTTTGCAAGAACACCAAGTGCTGTTAACTGCTGAGCCATCTCTCAACTCTGCTGTGCTCTTTTTCAAAGTTATTTTGATTACTTGACACCCCTTTAGATTCCATTTGAAATTTTATTTCTGTAAAAGATGCTGAGTTTTCATGGTGATTGCATTCTGTCTACAGTCTGGGTGTTCATAGCATTTTTAATAGTATTCAGTCTTTTAAATAGTAAAAATGGGATGTCTTTCCATTATTTATGTCTTAATTTCTTTCAACAGCATTACTGCTTTCTTCTTGTAAGTCTTGTGCCTCCTTGATTAAGCTCATTACCAAGTCCTTATTTTTTCATACTATTGGGAAAAGAAATTTTTTTCTTAGTTTCTCTTTCAAATTATTTTAGTATATAACAATTCAATTGATTTTTGATATTTGTATCGTTACTTTCCGGAATTCTTAAAATCTTTTTTTACTGAATTTTTGTGCATTTTATATGATGAATCTTTTATCAATCATATTTAGACCCCCTCCTCTATCTGCACTCTCCCATAGCCCACCCACCAGATTTCATGCATTCTGTCATATATGTTAAGGCCTATAGAGTCAACTTTGTGTGCCCAGTTGTCCCTCCAATGTGAGTTCATCCACTTGAGCCTGGTCATCACTCTCTTAAAGACCAACACTTCCTCACCCAGCAGTGATTAGTTACCAATAGTTCCTCAGCTAAGGTTGAGGCTACTTACTCATTTCCCCAGTTCTGTACTGGGCTTTTGTCTGATCTGAGTTTGCATGGGTCTTGTGCATGCTGTAACCACTGCTGCTAACTTCCTATGAGCAAGTTCCCAGCTACCTGGAAAATTCTTGTTTTCTGTGGTCTTCCACCACCCCTGACTCTTACAGTCTTTTTGCCCCATCTTCTGTAATTGTCCCTGAGCCCTGTGTGGCAGAGGTTTAATATCGGAGTCCTATCCAGTGACATACACTCTGCAGTCTCTTATTCTTTATGTTTTGGCCAGTTGTGGCTTTTTGTGTTAACTTTCCTGAATTTTTAGCAATTGTTATTGAATCGATAGACATTTGGCCATATGAAATTATGGTACCTGTAAACAGAGATTTTAATTTTTCCTTTTCAGGTTACTTGCTTTCTATTTCTTCTTTGCTAGTTTCTCTAAGACTTCTAGTACTGTGTTAAGTAGAAGTGGCAAAAGTGACATTGTGCCTTGATTCAGTTGCTAGAGGAAGAGATTCAGTCTCTGAATGCAGTGTTTGCCATGGGCCTTTCATATGTGGTCTCTGTTTTCCTGAAGTAGATTCTTCTTGTCCTTAGTTTGTAGAACATTTTGTGATGGGATAATGATGAATTTTTCCAATTGCATTTTCTGTTTTAATGGAAAGGATCATACTTTTTCTGTTATTCTCATGTATTACGTTGATTTTTTTAAAATATTATTTTGAAGTGAAAGCTGATTCTAAAATCCACATGTAAATGGACATATATAGAAGAAAAATAAAACTTCTAGATTTAAAAATGACTTATTTTTAAGGGCTTTTTAAATTATAGAGTTAAATTCTGAAGACCTAAAGGAGATGAATGGGTAATATGACCAATGTAAAAGTCTTAAGTAATAACTGTAATACAAGAATACTACAGTGATAAAATGAACTGGGAAGAATCCTTGGCATATGTTTACTTGATCAAGAGCGGTATCCTGAAATAATAAGATCTCTTAAGGAAAAAAGCCAAACCCAACAGAAACGCATGTAGTAGACATAATCAACTCACATATACCCACACAGCACCCTCAGCAAACAAAAGGCCCTTCCTCATTATCACAACAAGGAAAAAGTTCAACATGGGACATTTTTCCTAGTATGGTATAAAGTTTTAAAAGGAGGAATAGTACAGGTCAGCATGTATATGGTCAGGAACTCTCATCTGGTTTGTGAGAAAGAAAACAGGTGCTCTTTCTGTAGAGCAATTTGTTGCCTGGGTTTTTGAAATGTATGTCTCTTTGATATATCAGTTTTAGTTGATGTAGTTTATCTACATGAATACATTGAAATGTACATAAGAAGTATAAAAGGTTTTTTGTTTTTCTTTTTTTTTAATCTCTTGTTCCGAGGAAGAGGGAAACAAGGTAGACCCATAAAGCACGTGGGTGTTGAGCAGTACTCAGAGGGCCATTAAATAAACTGTGGTTCATCTATAGAATGGAATACACTTTCCAATTCTTAAGCAGAAAGAATTAGATTGGTTTAGATTGATATGGAAGCATATCAAGAGTCAAAGCAAGAGAGGATAGCCTCCTGGTCGGTTCCCACTTGTGGCTTATGAATGAAGTCCAAACAAAAAACTGCTGGTGGTGGCTGTCAGGGCCATGAAGCGTGGGATGGGGTGGGCTGTTTCTGTTGTGTATGCTCCAAGTGAATAGTCTGAGTTCTGTTTTCATGGGAGTATACATTTTGATGTGGAAATTGGTATTCTTCCTTTGGTTTTATGTGCTCTAACTACTTTTTTCTTGAAATTTTTTTTTTCCCCAGATTTCTCTTTCACTTTGTTTTGTTTTTATGTTTGGGAACTCGATGTTATTAACATCTTACTATGCTTCCTCTTTGGTAATTATTTGGGTAAGTATTTCTTTGATTTTTTTTTTAACTTTCCTTATTTTTGAGAGTTTTACACATTTATACAATGAAATATAATCATACCTACTCCTACTTCCCCCTCCAGTTCTTGCCACACCCCGCCCCAGGGAACCCCCTCCCCACTTCATGTCCTGAACCCTCCTCCTCGCCCCTCACCTTTTTTTCTTTCTTTTTTTTAAACTGCTCTCTAAGTCCAATTAGGATGACTTTGGCTGTTTTTGAAACAACTTTTATAAATTTATCACTGGCCTGGGATTCATGAGTGGTTTCTGCAGGGCCATCTCAAGCCCTGGTTGAATGTGTCTATACTGCATTCCAGTTCTGTTTGAAAACAGGAGAAAATCAGACTCCAAGAAGAGTCGCTCAGCAAGTGCAGTGCCTTTTGTCTGGTCTCCTCTGCCTTCCATTTGCTTTTCTCCCTTGTGTTTTGATCTCAATGTTTGCAGGAGTGCTCCTATGCTTTCCTCTTACTTTGCTTCCTTTTGTCTTCTTACTTTTAGTCTAAATATAAATCCTCTTAAATACCGACTTCTAGGAAATTACCTTGTTCATTAGTTTTGGCTTTACAGTGTTTTGCAAACCAAAGTGTGTGTGCTTCAGCAGAGGCCAGTTTCTTGAAGACACAAGCATGTGCACTGGCCCTGATTTCAGTGCATTCTGTTTTTTGAATAATATTTAGGTTATTCAGACCTTTTGGTTTTTCTTGATTTGGAGGCACTTACTTATTTTTCCTCTTTTACAAATAACTACTTTAAAAACCTTATTTCCAAGAAATATACTTTTTTTCTAGTCTCAACCACTACCACTTTTTACTATTCAAGTCAAATACATTTATTTGTAGAAATGGAATTAATGTGTGGTGATGCTGTGTTTTCGAAGCTAGAGTCATTACCCGAGTTGCTATTGCTGTGCCATGGGATTAAAATCAGCATACTTTCTAGTTATATTGTTTATAAGTTTGAAGTAGGTTTTGGTCCCTGGAGGTAATATAGTTTGGGAGTCCATGTACCTGGAAAGATTTGTCTTGACACAAAAGTATTTTGTGAAGTTAGTAAAATCTCATGTATACTTCATCACATTAGTCAGAAAGTTTTAGCTTAAAGAAAATCTTGTGTCTATATGAGCTATTCAAAATTCTGAAATTTTTACGTAGGTAATCACATATAAAATATAGAACTGGGCACATATATGGTGATGCTCTTTTTAATTTTATAAAGTAAATAAACATTTTTAGTATATATGCATGTTTGTATGTGTATATATAAATATATGTATGTATATATACATATTAGGGTTTTTTTTTTTTAGTATATTTAGAAATCATTGACTACAGAAATGGCCATAGGGTGATTTTGTATGAAAAATATGCAAAAGCAAAACAATAAAACCATGGATAGGGGAAAGAGATTTGTAGGGAGGGAGAGATGGGGGCTAATAGGGGTGGAAGGGAAGAGTAATTAGAATGCACTTTTATACATGTATGAAAATGCCAAAGAAAAAACTTAATAAAAAAGAAATCAACAGTATGCTCAGAATTTTATGTTCTTCAAAGCCTTCATTATTCACAATAATTGTTACTTAACTTTCCTTATTCAGGGTTTGCTGGCAATGAAACCACATTTTCTAAAACTCAATCTGTCTGAACTCAGTTTATGGGTAAGAATCCACCTATGCATATTTCTAATTTTCTAAAATATAGTGTTGGTTTTATGTTTTTCCTTTGAAGAAATTATATATGTAATGCAGGGGCCTAGTAATTTTATAAATATATCAGGGCCCAGCTTTACTGTGAAAAGTGTCCTTTTCATGAAGTACAAGGTATGAGCGGTCAGTTCCTGTTTTATGATTCACCCACATTTCTTCTGAGGAGCACTGCATGTGTCACAAGCCACTCTGGGTGGCTCTGCTACAGCTCCTCTTCACAGTTCTGAAAAGTTAGAAGTACATTTTGACGGTAAGGTTGTATGTATTCAGCTTTACTTGTATCCCTTGGTTTTGGAGCAACATTCTTTATTTCAAATCAAGATGTACTTCTTTAAAAAAGCATTTTCACACACAGGTCAGTGGCTGGACGGTGGACTCTGTGTGCCTTAAAAAAAAAAAAAAAAGCATTTTCCCTTGGAGATAGAAACATTGTTTATATGTGATTAACACATTTATTTTTTTCAATGGGCTATGGATCATGAAACACTGAGTTGGTTTTATTTTTCTTTTGTAGGTTATCCAAGGATGTTTTTGGTTATTTGGAACTGTTATACTCAAGTATTTGACTTCTAAGCTCTTCGGCATTGCAGATGATGTAAGTGTATTGTTGCTTAAAATTGAAAGACTTGAAAAGGACCTAATAGGCAAAAAGTAAATTTTTGGAGTTACCAAAGTATCATTATTTAAACTGAACTCTAAAATGAGCTATATTCACCTATTATTTTATCTCTTTAATGAAAGAACTTAGCTCACAAAAGTGTAATTATGTACAGTTTTTAAACTTCAAAATTAACTTCTTGACAGTTTCCATATATTAGTATATTTCTGTATCACAAAGATTTATAAAATGTAAAGCAAGAAAGCTATAGAGATGAAGGCCCAAAATATAAGGCCCAAGCAGCCATTTTCTGATTCCTTACTGTCTCCTTTTGAAACCAGTAAAGAGACAGACTGCCTTCAGAGCCATAGATAGACCCTCCCTCTCAGTCAACCTTCTGGTCAGTGTTTGTGGTCAGTGTTGTGGATTTATTTATAAACAACTGTAGGCAATTAGATCCAAGTAGAGTTATTAAGAGTAGGGATTTTGTTTGTTTTTGGTCTTTTTAGAGATAAGGTCTCCCTGTCGTCCCAGCTGACTTGGGGTCCCTACGGCTGGCCTCCATCTCACAGAGATCCACCTGCTTCTGCTGAGATTTAAAAAAAAAAAAAAAACTTTTTGTTTTGTTTGGCTAGAAGGGAGAACAAAATAAAATTTTTATTTTAAGGATTCCTCTGAATAATTGCTTTGTGGGGGGGTGTAGGGGTGGAGTGGGGGGGTGCATGTGGGTGGGTCAGAGACCGACATCAAGAGTCCTGCTCTTATCACTCTCCACCTATTCTTCTTGAGACAGAGTCTCTCGCTGAACCTGTAGCTAGGCTAGTGGCTAGCAAGTCCCAATATTCCTTGTGTCTCTCCCGCCCCCCCAGTGCTGGGGTTAGACAGATTCATGCACACCTCATTTTTTAGGTGAGTGCTGGAAATCCAAATTTAGGTTCTCATGCTTGTGCAGCCAGTGCTGTTACCTCATGAGCCTTCTCCCCTACCTCATTCTGTTTATTTGGGTGTTTTAATCGGCATATCCTGAGTTTAGGGAGCGCCTGACAACTGCAATGGTATGCAACTAATAAAGGCTGTGATAGAAAAGTAGTAAGTTCAGAGAACTGCAGGGACACACAGGAGGCAAATCAGGAATGGATCATAGTCAGCTGTGCAGGGAGCGAGGCAGGGCTGTGTAGTCATCCGGGGTGCAGAGGGTAAGCAAAAGAGACTGCCGTAGTCCCAGGTGTGGAGACGGTTGCTTTGCTGTGGGAGGACAAGCCAGTTAAGGCACTGATTAAGGCTGAAGGCACTGTTGTCATTTCTATTGTAGCCTAATGTCCTAAAGAGGAAAGAAACAAAGAAAAAAGTGCTGCATGCAGTGATTGCCACATTAAGAATAGTGCATTTGTAACTTTAATATTTCTAGAAATGTGTGACAAAGATCAACAGCATTAGCTCATAAATTCTTGATTCTGCTGTTTATCAAAAGAAGAAAATGACAGGGCCACCCACCCTTTAAAGAAGCATTTTCTACTTTTCCTTCTCTAATCAGAACGTTAGACACCCTACCTTGGAAGAGCCATTTAGTTAACCCCTGGTCGCCCATCCCTGCTTCTGTCAGTATTCTCCGTTGTTGAAGTCTGATGAGCTAGGTGTTAAGGTTTATGTAATTCCACTTTGAAGATTTTACTTAGTTCTGATTCAGTTAGTGATGAATTCTGGAACTTAAAAAAAATACCACTTTGTAACAAGTTAAACCTCACTATTACTCAAGATCTAATGGCCACATTTTACTTTTGATACTCAGTTTACCTAAACTAAAAGTACTTGCTCAGAATAGCATGGGGTCAGTACTCAATAAATATTAGTCTATGTTAATCATGGTTATTGTTACATCGTTGTCATTTATTTTTGTGTTTGCATAGACACACAGACACATACTTTTCCTCTATGGATGCATAGATTGGCTAGACTGTCTTAGGTTGATGGCTAGTGCTGTAATGAGTGTTGAGTTGTGGATATATTCATTTATTAATTTTTAATGGTGGCTCTAGGGGTTGGAATACAGGGCTTAATTTAAATTAACCCACTTCAGGTTCATGCTGACTAAATTCAGGCTCAGCATTTAGTACCTTGCTTCAGAATATCTCTGCCTCTCCCTTTTTGTGCTGTTCTTGCCATACATGTGTGTGTGTGCGTGTGAGCAACACAAGTTCTGGTTACTGTGTGGTGTACTCATGTATTTAAGAGAAAAAGAACAAAAAGGATTTAGGTTGCCTTTTGTATTCATCAATATTTCCACCATTTTATTGCCTTTTACTTCTTCCCGTCCTGAGAAATCTTACTTCCTGTTATCTTGTAGAATTTCCTTTTCTAATTTTGTAAGTCAGGCCTCAGCAGTGGGTTTTGTTAGGTTTTGTTTTCCTTCAGTGTTTCGTTTTTTCACTGTTTTGTTTCATTTTAACCTTTATTCTTAAGTCCCATTTTGCTGGACGCAGAATTATTGGTTGACTGTTTTCTTTAAAACTCTGGCCTCCATTTTTTTCTAAGAAACCCATTAATATTGACTTATAAATATTAATGTTAATAGAATGTTAATTGGTACTTTATTTCCCCGTGGGCATGATGAGTTATTTTTTTCTTGCTGCTGTCTTAAAGATTTTTAGCATTCCGGCCTGCTTTGCTAACTCTTCTGTGAACATATTTGGTCAGTTTTTTCCTGACTTCTATGCCTTCTTTCATGTTCCTGAATGTTTACCCCCTGCCCCACACACACACTCCATCTGGGTTTGTGGGGAGCTTGGGCTCTCGTGCATCTCCTGCATGTGTATGCAGCTTTCCAGTCCTCCAGGGATGTGAGGTTGTACCTATCCCTGGGATGGCGGTCTCATCTCCAGCTTCTAACTGAAGTTTCTGGTGGGTCTGCCTTTCTTTTGTTCATGTCACTGGGTTTACAGCTGTAGGCTCTGGCAGGAAGGAAGGCTTTCACCTCTCCTTTCCTACTATCACTGATGATAGAGCAGGTGTTTCTAGCCTGTCTCTCCACTCCATAGAAATACTGCACTGACCCACCAAGCTGGGGAATGTGTGATGGTACTGATAATAGGTGGAACACCCTAGGTAAGAATGGACTCCCAAAAGCTCATTTTTATCAATGAATACTTCTTGGTGGTTGTTCGATTTCTAGAATGTGACATGGTTGTCTGTGACACTTCTAACCAGTCTTAAAGGTTCCTTGAGGAAGGGCATGTGCTGACCTCCTCTTCCACATCTAGAACTCCCTGTGTTTGCTTTCAGATGCTTCCCCAGTGTTGTAGTTCTGAAGCAGACCTCATAGTACGTTACTCTTTTGGGACATTGCTAGATTTGGTTGGCTAATATTTTTTAAAGGATATGTGCCTTTATTCATGGAAAATATCATAGTTTTCTTGTATCAATTTTGTCTGATTTGGGTTTCAGAATAATGGTAGCCTTCCAAAATTATGAAGATGTGTTCCTTCCCGTTTTCAGAGATAGTTTGTGTAGTTTTTCTTTCCTGCCTTAAATATGAGCAAAGTGTAACGCTGAAGCCCACAGAGCCTGAGATCATTGTTGTGAGTAGGTTTTTTTTTTTTCTTGAAATTCAGTTTCCTTGGGGAAGTCGCTCATTCTTCTGGAGGTGCTTTGGTCATTTATATCTTTAGAGGAACTTTTCCCATTTCTTATATGCAACCTGCCAGTGCCAGCCGGCCAAGACGGACAGTACCTGAAAGGGGGAGTGAGGATTGAAAGAAAAAAATAAGAGACAGAGGAAAAGATACTTGGGAGGACTCTCAGTAGAGACTGCAGCCTCGGTTTATTTTAGCTCCGCCTTTTTATACAGAAGCTCATCAGAGATCTTAACTCAATTAATTTCAACAGCTGTTTTTCCCACCTGTATCTGAGGGTCAAGGAGCTGTCAAATACTTGTTGTGAGCTCCACCATATAAACACATTCCTCCTGACTTGGCAGATTAGGTACTGGTGTACAAAACACAAACTCAGTAAACAAGCCTGCCACAGCTCAATGTACATAATGGATTAATAGCTCCCAACAGCAACCAAAGGGATCATACTTTTTAAAGTTACTGTTGATGGTGTATGCCTTTAATCCAATCACTTGGAAAGCCAAGGCCGGTGTAGGTGCCAGTATGCTCTACATAGCAAGTTTCCAGGCCAGCCAGGGCTACATGGAAAGACTGTGTCTCAAAAAAAAAAAAAACATTATTGTTGGGGCCAGTTAACTAAAATTACATGACAGTTTTTACATATATGGGTTTATGGAATATGGCCTTTTATGTTCTTTTATTATTGAAAGCTTTAAAGCTTTAAGTTTTTTCTACTTTTCTAATTTGACACAATGGTGTGTGTATCTATCTGGTAGAGCATCATGTGTGGAAGCTAGCATATATTTTGGAATGGTAAAATGCAGCTTTTTCCCCATTTAACTCTTTGTGGTGAGAGCTCTTAACATCCACTCTGCATTTTCAACAGAATGATACGCCTTCATTAGCAATAGTCACCCTGACATATAATAGGTCTGCTGGGTTTATTCCACCCGTCTAATTATATGTCCTCTGACCACCACCCTCTCTGGGGTTACTCCTTCCTCTCTGGAGCCCCTCCTAACCATTGTTGTATCCTCATCTATGAGTCAGTTTCTTTCAGAGTCTAGATGTGAGTATATTCATGCCTGAAGGAAATGCTCAGCTCTTTTGCTTTTACCATTGTGTTAGTCACTTTTCTGTTGCTGTGATAGAAACACTGACCAAAGCGATTGATAGAAGGAAGACTTTATTTGAGCTTAGGGTTCCAGGGGAATTACAGTCCATCATGGTAGGGAGGCGTGGTGGCCGGAGGTAGCTGGAGGAGGAGCAGAAGCTAGGCTCTACATCTTCTAGCAGGCATAGGAAGCAAGAGAGCACCTCCAGATCTGGCAAGGCTTAAGAACTCTCTAAACCAACCCCCAGTGACATGTTTCCTCCAGGATGGCCACACCTGCTAAGACTTCCCAATACTGCGCCACCATCTGGGGACAAAATGTCCAAATATTTGGAGCCTCTGGGGGACATTTTCATTTAAACCACCACAACCAACCACTCTTACTTTCTGGCAAATCATGTCTTGAACTTTTCCTGTAAGTAGTACTTTTTATGTCTTGTATAAATTGGAAGTTTATTAAATTTATGTTATTTAGTTTCTAATTACTGCACTTATGATTAGAAAAACATTGGCCCTTGAATTTAATTTTATGAGATATTACAGTTGCTGTCCTAGATTTTATTTTGTTTACTTGGTTTATTTTCTTTTATTCTTGTTTGCAGCTTTTCTTTTGTAGACAACGTAATATTGGATCTATTCCCTTAAGCGAGTTTGAGTATCTGTCCTTTTCATTAGTTAATTTAAGCTCTTTGTGTATATGGCAGGTATCATTTTACTAGGATGTTTTCCTCCCATTTTATTTGGGATTTGTTTCCTTGTGCCACACATTCTGTGTTAGTTTCTTAAACTTGCCAGCCTGCTTTTCTTGCCCTCATGATAGTGCATCACATTCTTACGCTGACGACAGTGCTTTGAGGTGTCCTATCACATTCTTCCCCTGACACTGCTTTGAGGTCCCGTCACATCCCCACCATCCTTCCTGCTCTACTCAGGACAGCTCCTTCCATTGTATGGTAGGCCTTAAGATATAATTTCCTCTCTTTTTCTAGTCTTTCCTATTTTATATAATAATGAACTTGAAAGTTTGACAAATGTCTTAAGTCTTTGAGCCTTAGTTTTTTCACTTATGAAGTGAAAATGGTTCCACTCTCCTCATCTTGTGGAGGGAAGTAGATGAGTCAGTAAGCAAGTACTCTTGTTGGTTATCAATTACAAGGAGTCTTTTTACCAGCTCTGCCCGTGTCTACTCCCTTCAAGCAGTCCTCTTAGTCCCTTTCCAGAGCTGAGAGCTTTTCTTAAATGGTTGACAGAAGTCTGTGAATTCCTGAGCCCACACCTCCTGGTAGGAAGCAAAGTGGGCTGAGCAGCCTATTTTACTAAGTTTAGCAGAGCACAGAAAGCCTCCAGGGTAAAAGCCTTTGGCATTGATGAGAGAGGAGGGAAAGGTGCTTTTGGGGGCTATTACTTGTTGGTAGAAGAAGCAGCTGTGAGGTTGGAGAAACAGTACTTTCTTTAATTGAAAAGGCCAGTGTTGGAACAGTACACTTTATACTGTAGTGAAAGCTATTTTTAAATATTAAGATTAAACTGCATGGTTATAATATAATGATTCCTTACTTTATTTCTTACTAGGCTCATATTGGCAACTTATTAACATCAAAATTCTTCAGTTACAAGGATTTTGATACTTTACTGTATACTTGTGCAGCAGAGTTTGACTTTATGGAAAAGGAGGTAAGATGTGATTTCCCGTTTTGTTCCCTAGCTTTTGGTCCATTCATTTTTCATAAAGGATGCCCTACTATTTCAGGGTCTGCACATGCTGTTAGTTTGATTTACAGGAAAAAAGATAATCTGATAATCTGGCAGCTTAATGAAAGATGTTCCCATTTGTGTATTTACTTATGACCTTTTTCATGTTGGTAATTTGGAAATGTGCTTCAGAGTACTCAGTTGTTTTTTTTTTTTCCAGGTGTGAACACAGGCATTTAAAGCTACCTCCTTTCAGAGACGTCATTAATTCAGTCAAGCTCTTAGGCTTCCATTTTCATTTTGTGGCTATTTGCATGATCGCAGTGCATTTAAATATCGTTGAGCACAAGTTTTTCATGCTAATATTTCCATTCAGATATTTATAGGAAATAAATATTGATTCAGATATTTATAAGAAAACCAGAACACAGGTTAATGGATCATGAGATGGAAACCTGCAATATAAATTGATGGTCTTGAACAAACAACTCCCATTCTTTGTGTTCTGGTCTACTAGTTTCTAGTAGCATGCTGCAAACAGATATTGTCAAGACAAAATAAGATTACACATAGGAAAGTACTTTGATAGTTTAAAATCTTTATGTGCCAGTTTGTTTCAACAAACATGTATGCAAACACTGTGCATGCTGCAGGGTTTATCGTATTTTTCATCATTATTCTTTAAGGCTGTACATGTAAGGTTGTATTAAGCTGGCCACCACTGTACTGACATAGTCATTGCCCCTACGCTCCCACTATGTCTTGAGTGCTAGAGCAGCAACTTTACCACAGACTCATCTGTCAGCCAGCCATTCTGAGTCAGGTGTGTCATGCTTATGCCAAGGGATTTTAGTAGTCATATATTGTATTCATCATTTTGGTACATAACAGCTGGAAAAAACTATACAAATTGTTGTGAAAAAGATCAAAGGAAATGTATCTTGTAAGCTATTAAAAATGTCTATGGGAAATCAAGACTCCTTCAAGAAAGTGGTAAAGAAAATAAAAGATGCATAGAATTGGATAATTTGGATGTGACAGAGGTCCTCAACACTACTGAGGATATCATGCATGTTTCTATAAATTGAGTGGAGTCACTGCCACTTCTGTGGTGAAAGGGATTATCTATTGAGACATGGCATGACTTCATTCAACTTGAACAAAATGTCAGGCTATTTCTAGTATGCCACTCTTGTCTCCATGGTTTTCTGAATCCAGGGACTTGCTGTTGAGACAGTTGACTCACTGCCATTGAGGGGATCAATTTAGCATGATATTCCCTACTAGGATACCATGCTGACCTGGAATGATGCTTAAGACGTATACTGTAGTAAGCAAAGTAGTAGTTCGTAATTAACTGTAGTCAACCCCTAGTAAGTAGAAGAGAGTAAAATCTTAACAGTGATTTAGTGTGAGAAGTACACAGGATTTTATCGTATAAGACATTATTATATATAAATTGATAACTATTTAATAAAACATAAAATTGTATTTTCCCTCCATAAGCCTTGTTCATTAGTCAGTGTGTATCCGCATATTTGTGTGTGAGAAAGAACTATGATGAGTAACGGTATTTTATAAAACATACAGGAGAGCTTGCTCCATTTAAAGAGAGTCCACTTGCTGGGGATGAATAGCAAGCAGCTCTTTGCTTAGCCAAACGGTGTACAGAATGCGAAGGAGGATCTCTGGTTGCCTTTCACACAAATTTTGGGAACTGTATTTTTAGTGTTTTCAAGGCAACATTTTATCAAAATTTGTTTCTATGGAAATATTTAATTTCTATGATGGGAATCAGTAGGTAGGCTTAGCTGGTGAATGGCCTTACTTCTCTACTTATGCACGTAAAAGAGCTTTTGTGTGGTAACTATTCTGCTAACACAGCACCTCTGATTTTAGACACCAGTAAGGTACACGAAGACGCTGCTGCTCCCAGCTGTTCTTGCTGTGTTTGCTGCCATTGTCAGAAAGGTCTGTTTGACACTTAAAAGCTCTCTTTTCACAAATTTCTTTTTGGATAGTGGTTATGTATACTTGGCTGCATGGTCACAGTGTTTTACAATGATTTGTTTTAAATTATGTATTTTCTTACTGATAACCTTTGATGCATGTTTATAAATCTTTTTATATATGTTATTATTTTTATTTTACGTGTATGAGTATATTGTCTGCATGTGTTTAAGTGCACTTGTGTCATGCAATGCCCGCTGAGGTCAGAAGTAGCATCAGATCCCCTGGAACTGGAGTTATGGATGGTTGTTGGCCGCTGTGTGGGTGCCTCAAGTGGACAAAGTGCCATAAGTTTTGATAGTCTTGGATATTCATGTATCTTAGAAGTATGCCTAGATGCCATACTCACCCAGATATGACTTGGTTTTACAACTATATCAGTTATTACTGACTTGTTTTTGACTCTGTAATATTTCCTAAAATATTCAATAATTTAAATATCTTGGTGTGATATGAGTGTTTTTCAATAGCTCTTCAGTTGGGCTTATTGTTTATCAAAAGGAAAAAAACTAGAAACAGCAGTGTATCTGTGCACTGGATAGCCTGTTTAGGTCTCAAGTGGGCTTTGAAAATGAAATTCTAAGCCCAGGTATAATCAGGCCTGAGAAGCGTCAGTCTTCTGTGAAGAACATATGTGAAACTCTAGTTTTTAAATAGTTTGTGAACTCTGTAACTACATGTGCCTAAAGAGAGTGAACTGGGACTAATCTGTGATCAAAGAAGGGATGACAAAGACTAACAATTTATTGATCTCTAGTGATTTGTGTTAGCACAGTGTCATATATTTGTGAGGTATCCTGTGCTGTAATTATTCACACTATATTGTATGGTGCTTTGTACTCTTCCAAAATATTCTGCATGGCATATTTCAGCGGGTTATTCAGGCAAATAGTGCCTTCTTGATTTGATACATGCAGATTTGAAAAGTCAGAGGTTGTTAGCAGCTCTCTGTGACAGGACTCAGGCTTAGCACCCTTCTCCCCACACCAGGCTCGGTGGTACTCAACTCTCACAGCACACTTTAATGTGTCACTTTAGTCAGTTTCACCCTGTGCCTGGCTTTGTACCTGCTTGTCACTTTTGTATGCTTTACTAGGATTCATGCATAACAGATCTCAAAATTGACCAGACCCAAAACCCGTTCAAAAGACAGCAGCTTTGGTAGCAAGATGTGATGAAAAATAGCAGGTCAGGTAAATGAAGTTGGGCTGTTTGGTTTAAAGAACAAAAGATTCAAATGTGGGTGGATAATTATTTCCAAATATTTAAAAATCTACCATTTGAAAATATGTCTACTTTCTTTTTTGACTCCTTAAAAAATATTGTCAGTTCCTGGCAATAGGACTTTTGACCAAAAATACCTAGAATAATCAGAAAAGTATTACTGATTCAGGTAGTAGCCCATTGGTTCTTCCAGGGGCTAAACTAATATCTGACCATGATGAGATGCAGCTGGGACCTTTGTGCTTCACCTCTTCTGTAATTGGGAGGCATGATGAAGGCAGCACTGGCCGAATTTGACACCAGGAGTTGGGTGTTGGGACCCAGAAATGCTTCTAAGTGTTTGTCTACCTTCAGGAAGATCCTTTACTCCTTCTGAGCCCATTGTGTACTTACTAAATATGGATGTCATAATCTACCACACAGGATTGCCGAATAGTAGACATGGTCAAGCACTGGCAAGTATAAGACAGCTTTATCATAATAATTATTTTCTGATTGGTCTGATATTTCCACACTTCTCATATTCTTTATTAAGAGTTTTTAAGTTTAGACAATATTTTCAACTGTTATAACTGTTTAAAGTCTTTAAAAATCTATTTACAGATTATTAGTGATATATGGAGTGTCATAGCTAAACAACAGACACATATAAGGTAAATATACTCTTTTCTTACTTCCATTTATTAAATACTTATTATAGTATATTAACTATGCTTACATGCTGTATGTTTTCCATTGTCCCCTTCTCTTCCTGTGTAGACACAGGTGCTGTACATTCATGTATGGATCTAGTCCTAGCAGGCTAACAGTACCCTCACATTTTTGTACTGGAAGGACACATTTTGGGGACAAATAGATTGCTAGTTTTGAGAAATAAACCAGAGAAGTATAAAATGGGGTCCATTACTCATTTTTAGACAAAATAAATTCCTAATGGAACAATATTAAAACATATATTAAAAATGAAACCCTGAAATGAACTAAGAGAATATCCTTGCATGCTTAGAAGTAGAGAGGCCATCTTAAGCATGATATGAAGCCTGCATGCCAGAAGGAAAGTTGATAAAGTCAAACAGCTAAATATGTTGATTTGGTAAAAGAGTCTAGCAATATTGTTGGGGGGGAAAGGGACAGTTTAGAACAAATGTTTGCACTATGTGACTCTGGGCTGATGACAACTATATGTTCTTAAAGGATCTTTACAGATTAATAGAAAAAGTGCTGAGGACACATTAGGACACAAGAAAGGGAGTTGAACAGAAAAACAATTTACTTTTCCCTTTCCCAGTATACTCATGCCCTCTGCACTTTTACCAGTGGCAAGTTGTCTCTTGTCTATGAACTTTGCAGGAGTTGAGCCGAATGCCATAGTATATGCCTTGTACTCCGTGACCTGGCTCTTGACATGGCTGATGTCCTTAATCTTTGCTTCCATGACTTTCTTCAGGAAACCTTCTGTGACTTTCGTTTCTGAGCAGATTCTTTGTTCACTTGCTAGTACCTTCCTGCCCTTTATCTTTCTCTCTTCCCTTTGGTGTTTAATGCTGATGTAATATATGTATATCTTGGGGAAGGGATCATTCTGCTCAACAGTTTGCATACAGCAGCTGACTCATAGGAAGGAATAATACTTGAAATGCTGTATATTTACACATTACTAATAGAGGCATGGCAAGGCCCACAATCTTGTGAGAAAAGACAGAAATTAAAGCTATTTTACTTAACAGATTTGTGCATGACCAGGAGGAAGATATAGGGGGCAGGTGGCAGTGATCAGCAGACCATACAGTGGACCTGCCCTTCAGCCCAGGAGTTCTGCCAGTGTACATCCATCTTGTGGAAGTGCTCACAGAAATGTAGAGGCAGTGATAAAAAGATGCTTAGTGTGGTGTTGTATGTAAAGTGGAAAATTAACATGATCAAAATACATATTAGTATGTGACCTAGTTTGTTTTCTGTTGTTGTGATAAAACTGACCAAAACCAACTTGGGGAGGAAACGATTTATTTGGCTTACAGGTTATAGTCCATGGTTTATGTAAGCCAAGGCTGGAGCTCAAGGAAAGAGCTTGAAGCAGAAACTATGGAGGAATACTGCTTACTGGCTTGCTGGCTTTTCCCTGGCTTGCTCAGTTACCTTTCTTATACATCCCAGGCACACCTGTCTAGGGAAGGCACCACCCACAGAGTGCTGGGCCTTCCTACATCAAACACCAGTTAAGAAAATGGCTTTGCAGACATGGCCACAGGCCAGTCCAATGAAGGAAATTACTCAGTTGGGATTCTTTCTTCACAGATGTCTCTATTTTGTAGCAAATTGACAAAACTAACCAGCACAGTATAGAATTAACTTACAGTCCAGCCATAAAAGCAGAGTGTTGTACCATCTTTATGGAAATAGTTCCATTATATATCACTGGCTTTTAAAAAAAAATGTCAAACAATGTACATATAGGATTAGTGTACTTTTTAAATATGAGATTTTATGTATTTATATTGTGTTAGGGTGACCTGGAAGGTTGAAATACACAAATAGAGTATGGGATTGTAGTGAAGGAAGTTTCGATTTTACTTTCATTTTTGTATATAATTTTTGTTTTTAGGTGTTAGAGAGACTGTCAAACTTAAGTGTGCCTATGTATTTTCTTTTATATCTTGAATATATCTACCCTGACATTTTTTTCCTCACCTCCAATCTCTACTTACACAACGATAAATTATTGTTTCTCATCTAGAAATAATTTTCTATAACCATACCTTGCTTGGACCAGAGTTGATAGGCAGAGGAAAGGAAGTGATTCTGGTGTATAATACTAGAGTTTCTCTTCATTTGAGGTCATTTTTTCTGAGGAGTTGGGAGAAGGAGCTTAAAAATTATAACGATAGTATGCATCTCTGGAAAGGGAAGACAAAACGTATCAGAGAAGAATAAAATTGTCTCTCCAAGAATCACTTAACTACAGAAATAATTTTAGAAAACCAAGAGCTTCTTAGGCTTTTCATTTCTGGTAGGAGCAGAGCTCTCTTGTGGAAAGCCACTGGCATGTTGACATTTCATTTTCATGAGAACCAAAGTCATGCCATTATAAAATGGAGAGGGGAAGAGAAGGTGTGTTGTAATTTTAATGAGACTACTGTTAACTCTGTCAACCGTGAACCTAGGAGGAAAGATAGAATCACAGCAGTCTATGTAGTAGAAGATTCATCATCTCTGAATTCAGCCTAAATGCCGTCCTGGCTGGCAGGAGCTCTGGTCTGATCTTCCTTGATTGTAAATTGGGATAATATAATTGTGAGATTATAGTAAATGGAACGTACCAGCACATTAACATTGTAAGAGCTCAGGAAATGGAAACAGTTTTTCCTTGGGGAGGCTTAAGAAGGGGCGTGCCACCATCTTTATACTTGGCACTGTGTGTTTATAAACTCTTTTATGATGCCAGATTCTGAAATCAGATTATGCTTTGCCTAAATTAGGGGAGGGGGCAATGTCAGTCACTAACATGTTCATTTATATTTTAAAAAATAAGACTCAATATTCCAGGTCTTGGGAACATACCACTGCTTAAGACAGAGGTGTGTGTTGGCAGCTCACACTTTCTTGTCTCTGATCCAGACTTTTCCTTTGAACTCCAGATTTATATGTGTAACTGCCATTTCTCACCTCTCCTTGAGTGGCTTGTGAGACTGTCCAGTTTTATGAGTATAGCACTGAGCCTCTTTTACTGTTTTTTCTACTGCAAATCTTATACAGCTCTACCATCTAACACCCCCATTCTCCTGTTGACATGAGTCAGAAATCATAGCGCTCTCTGCTCTTACCTCCACATCAGATTGTATGCAGAGCCTGCCATTGTCTTAGTGCCCACCATCTACCTCTTCTCTGGCCCTGTCACTATCTCCTCCAGGGATTACTGCCACCTGGCTGCCTTGCTGACTCTGCTCTGCCTCTGCTGCCCAGGTCTCTTCTCTACACAGCAGCAGAGTGAGCATTTCAAACAGAAGTCCCAGGGAATCCTGCTGTCTTCAGTTTTCCAAATTATTTGCAGCCCTCATCCTGATCTCCAGGGCCCTGTGCCCTTCTGACTGCCCTCAGTCACCCCTCCTGTGGTCTCTTGGTTCCCCCCTTTCTAAGCACACTATCTTCTTGGCTAGCCCAGCAGAGCCTCCCTACCCTGCAGCTTTGCATCCTTTCTGCTGTTTGTTTTCATGTTTCCCTACAGGGTCTTCAGGGCTCCCTCTCTCAGACCCCACTCAGATGGGGTGCATGCTGCACCATTCCTAGTCTCCGTAGCACAGTCACTATGAGGCAAATGCATATTTATATGCCCCTTCAGTTTTACCTCTGACTTACAGAGGGTAAGGATGTTTTTTTTATCTTGTTACTCAGCTTTTTATCTCCAGAAAGTGAGTGGGTGATTGAATAGAACTGTACCCTGGACTCCTGTTGGTTCATTTTAGTAGGGAGAGGCAGTATACTCAAAACATAAATGTGAATTCTCTCTTTCCTAAGAGGATAAACCAGGCCAGTGGGGTAGGTGTATGTGGGAGACAGAGGCTTCTGTGCTGTTGTTAGGGCTCAGTTAGCCTGTGACCAGGAGAGAACAGAGAGAAGATGACTGACATGGTGAGCAGTAGGGCCAGCAGAAGAGGTGTATGTGCAGCTGATGGAATTTCATAGTTTGCATTAACTGCAGGACTCCACCCATTGGAGACTTTCAGGCAAAGGAGTAGATGACTGGCTTGCCATTCTCTAAAACTGCTCTCCCTGCTGCTGTGGGAATTGTTGGAGACAAGGAGCAGTAAGGGCAGGATTTGTTGGCCTCTCAGCATCTGCATACAGGCAGAGTGCTGCGACAGTTCCTGTATTATATTATTGTACGGCTGGTGCTGAGAAGAACATGTCTGTATGCAGATTCCCCGACCAGCCCTGTCCTCTCTCCTACGGTAGCAGCAGCAGTGTGTGGGAGCTCAGGGGCCCCTGGGGGAGGAAGCAGACATATAGGAAGATGAAGTCTTCAGAGTTCTTCACCTCATGCCTTGCTGGGTATGACCAGTGAGGGACCTGTGTGGCACACAGTGTGAGGTGTGATCATTGACATAGTAAATATGCACCTAGTCAGACAAAGCATCGTCTTTTTTAAAAATAAATTGCCTTGAATGGTTGTAGTACTAGTATTAGAATAAAACTTTTTGTTATTTCCATTTATATATATGTGTCTTGGGAATACTACAGAAGTTGTAAAACTCATATTTGCAAGATAACAATGCAAGTAAATGAAGTAAGTGCCTTGGTAATGATTCAGTAGCAATGATTTCTTTTTTCCATTTCAGAAAACACCAGTTGGACCATGGAGAGGTGAATTTATAACATTACTAAGACTTTACTTAATGTTTGTATATATTTCGACTTTGCTTTTGAGTTCTAGTTCTAGTTTTATTGGCAGTTGTCATCTTCAGAATACCCCAGTATATGTATTTCTTAGGAGAGTGCTACAAGCTGATTGACAGACTGGTTTTTTGTTTTGTTTTGTTTTTGTTTTGTTTTGCGAAATGATGAATTAGGGAACATTTGGTGTGCCTTATAGTAATAGCAGTTGGTTTCTGAAGCCCATTGAGGCATGTATGTGAGGTGTCCTTGCATGGTGGGAAGCTACTTTTCTCTCCGCCCTCCCTGTCCTGAAGCTTCTGGGGTGTAACTGGCTGTAGTTCTCACATTCCTAAGACCCAGCCTGCCTTCTATGCAGCTCAAGGGAGTGCCAGGGTCTCAAGACAGCGGTCACTTCCTGAACCACTGTCTTGGCTTGATCTGATGGCATCACCAAGGTAGATTAAGGTGCATTCACAAATGCAGGCTCTATTAACCACAGGCCTGACTCTGAATAGAATTACAGGAATGCCTGGTTTAGTGGCTTTTTAAATGTAGTCTCTATCAAAATGTACAGCTTGAAAGTACATTTAAAGGATTGCTCTATACCTATAGAGTAGTGCACCTCTCAGTTCTCATCAGAAAAGTGTCTTAGTGTAGTGAACAGCAGTTAATGTAGAAATTTACAGCTTATCCAAGACCAAAGAAAAAGTATTAGTAAAGTGCTAAGCCACAAATAGGACATCTGTATTGAACCCTTCCCTTCCAAGGCTCAGGGACCATCACAGAAGAGGGGGCAGAAAGATTGTTAGAGCCAGAGGCCAGGGAGCTCCTGAGCAAAACAGTGTTTTCTGGCATGACAGGACTCCTGCACTTAATAACTCAGAGCAGCTGTGGTTGCCTGAAGATCAAGCCAGTCAACATTCTAGCCTTGGAGCAGGGACGAGCTCATGATTCCCCATCCCTAACTTAGGAACTATAGATAGTTATTGGCTTCTGGGGAAGGAAGAATCAGTTTTCTTTAAGGGAGTGGCCCCACACCCCTGAATATATGGGCCCCGCAAATTGGACTCAATGAGTTATTTATTTTAAAGTGGGGGGTGAAGTTGGGAGAGGGTAGTCCAGTGGGGTTGGATCTGGAGGAGTTAAGGGGAGGAGTGGGAAGGTGAATATGATGAAAATATATTGTATGACTTTAAAATGTTATATAAAAAAGTATTTTAGAAATTTCAGGAATCCTTTCTGCATATCCAGTTTAATAGTATGTTCTTATTAACAAATGGTCCAAATGAATAATCTTTCCTTCCTTCAGCTGGTTTATCATGCACTGCAGCTGTTAGCGTACACAGCCCTTGGTGTTCTAATTATGAGACTGAAGCTCTTCCTGACACCACACATGTGTGTTATGGCTTCCTTGATCTGCTCCAGACAGGTAATGTGGTCACAGCAGTGGAGTTCTGCCCAGAATTGGCTGCTCAGTGATGCTAGGATACTATTGCTGTGCAGGGCTCTGAATCCATTGTTATTGAAATTCCTTACCATGGTGTTATACTCATCTTTCCTGAAGCTGAAAGACAAAAGATGATTATTATATGCCCTGTCCTGGCATACAGCAAAGACCAAATCAGTGCAGTCTAGGTCCATCAGTAGCCACGGCAAGGCTGATAGAAAGTCCAATTTAACTGTAGGAATTTTTTTGACATTTGTATGAAAACTTTTCTAGCAATGGATTTCAGTCTATAACTACCTTCAAATTATATGTCTTACTCAGAATCAAGCTTTTGAAAGCTTTTCCATTTATTGAGTGTCATTTGTATATATATTCTTGATTTTACATTAAAAGTTTACATGAAGAGTTTGGTCATCCCAGATCATATACTACTGTATTCACAGATCAATGCTTCTCCACAGTGTGACTGTCTCATCAGTCAGCCAGCCAAGGTGCGGAAGCAGCACCTCTGTTACCTGTAACCAGCTCTAGGTTCTAGGGGTGGAAAACTTGAAAGGCCAGAAAGAGTATATGCCTGCAGACGTCTAAAATTCAGACAAGGGGGCCTGAGAAAGGGAGGTATGGGGACAGAGTATAGACTGCTTAAGTGCAGAATGAGGTCCCCGTCACAGTGTTGGAATTGTTAGAGAGACACCACTTCACCTTGTTCTTGGCTCCTTGGAAGGAAAGCTGGTAGCAGGTCCTCCATCTTCACTCCCATCCCACCGATGCAACAGAGGGCAGGGCCTCTGCACAGAGCCCTGCATTTACTTAGAAGGGCTCTCTCTGCAGTTGCTGTGGTGCTGTGGATCAGACCCAGGGCCTCACACACTCTAGGCAAGAGTTCTCCCACTGAGCTGTGACTCTAACCTGTTTTGAACCTCATGATTCTTTTCAAAGGGCTCACCTTTTCACTTTGTGCTGTGCCTTGTAAATCAAGTATGCGGTCTGCCTTGTGGCCTGGCTTCTTGAATCCTCACAACACGTAGCAGGTTGAGCGAGCAGGTTGAGAACAGTGCATCTGAAGCCATGGCCTGCTGGGTAAGGCCGGCAGTAGAATGTTTTTGATATTGAAGATGATCGTTTAAGGATCTTTGCTGGGGCCGTGAGATGGTTCAGTGGGTAAAGGTGTTTGCTGACAAGCCTAGTGATCAGAGTTCAATCCCTAGAACATACATATAAGTGGAAAAAGAAAACTAACTCCACAAAAGTTGTCCTCTAAAATCTATGTGCAACCCCCACCACACACATACAGTAATAATAATAAAATTATTTAAAAGTAATCCATACTGGGTCTCTAGCAGAGATTGTTTCTCTTTCTCAGAGGATATTTTCTTATTGGTTCCTGCTCCTTTGTGCTGACAGTTACCGGGGTTCTTCATTTCGTTTCAGCTGTTTGGATGGCTCTTTGGCAAAGTCCGTCCTGTTACTGTTGTTTTTGCCGTGTTAGCAGCAATGTCAATTCAAGGTTCAGCAAATCTACAAACCCAGTGGAACATTGTAGGGGAATTCAGCAATTTACCCCAGGAAGAACTTATAGAATGGATCAAATATAGTACCAAACCAGGTAAAAAAAAGTCCAATTAGCTAGAATCCCCTGTCCCCCCACCCCAGAATTTCATGTTACTGCAAAAATTTTTCATTTGTTTGTTTTGGTTTTGGGTTTTTTTTTGTTTAAGACATGTAGCCCCAGCTGGCTTGGCCTGTCCTGGGCCTCACTGTGTAGATCATGCTGGCCTCAATCTCACAGAGATCTACCTGCCTCTGCTTTGAGTGCTGGGATTAAAGGCATGTACCACCATGGCTGGCTTCCCACCCAAACTTTTTTTAAAGGCTATTATCAACAGTGTTTGCATGGTTTAGAGGGAAAATGCTATACACACTTTCTAAATCATTATTCTGCTGTTTTCCATAAATTTAAATTGTATAAAATTTTTCCAAAATTATAAATGCTGCATTTTACCACATTTTTGCTATGCTTATTTCCTTAATGAATTTTTAATATTAGTCCTTCTCATTCCCTCTTGACTCCTGAAAGTTGATCTTTATCCATGTATCCAAAGGGAAACTTGTTGCCCAAGTAGCAAATGATTAAATATTAAAGCATCTTTCATAATTTCTTGGTGCAGTCAAACTTCCTTGGACAATTTGCTATTTTTTTCATAAAAGCATAGACCTGCCCTTGAACCTTTAAGTTCATATGTCCTTGGACTGCAACTCTGTCACTTGAGAGATTACTGTGTTTTCCTGAAAGGAAACCCGTGCCATGCTTGGCCAGTGTCTTCCTGAGACTCTTCTTTGCTCCAGATGCAGTGTTTGCTGGTGCCATGCCCACCATGGCAAGTGTGAAGCTCTCCGCACTCCGGCCTGTTGTGAACCACCCACATTATGAAGATGCTGGCCTGAGGTTAGTGCACAGGCTCACAGTGCAAAGAACAAATTTCATACAGTGAGTGAGGAATCCAGCCAAACAGGAGTGTTTGAGAAAAGATAGGGTGAGTTGGGATCGTTAGAGTAGGGAGAGAGTGCTGAAATAAAATGACTGTGCTGGTGATGGAACTGTTGAGGCTCCACGGAGCAGTACAACTGCTGCCTTTGGGGTTGTGTTTTCTATCAGGCGGAAAATAAGAACTCATGTATTATTGTCTGCGGCAAGATACCTCAGTAGCACCACCATGCCCACCATTCCCCAACACTTACTAGTTGGAGGGTTTTAGCAAGGCCTCCTTTTTAAGGCTGTTTTCTTGAATCCTGAGAAGTCCGTTGAAATTCAGTGAGATTTTGAATTCAGTCTGCATTCAATGAGATTTCCATTCAGGTTTTCATAATATTGTTTGCAATAATAAGCTTAGAAATTTTGTTTGTTTTTAAGACCTATTTTCCCCCATAAATGACAGCCTTGTATTCTTTTGGAAGAGGTAATGGATTTAATATTGATGTACTTTCTAGCATAGGCAAAGCTGTTCATTTCCCAAATGATCAGGTAAATGTTATTAGCATATTGTTTTGCATAACAGTGGGATGTACATTTTATAAATAAAAAGCTTTTTCATTTAAAAAATCAATTTCTTCAAGCTGATCTACAAAATAATTTGTAGAGTAAGTTTTTCTTAAATCTGGACATAAAATAGAGCCACTTGGTGCTGAGTTGTTGGCACCAAGGTTCTGGGACTATTAACCTTCAGATCAGTCCTGGAGTTGTGTTTCCTGTGGCTCATCCCTGTCCACACACAGGGCTGCTGAAGAATTTAAAAACAAAAGCAAGAGATCAAAGAGAAGACTAAGTCTGGAAATGTGGGCTTGTGTTAAAGCCCACCCCCTCCTCCCAGAACACTGGTGCTGCGTCTGCCTTGTGCTTTAATCTCACCCTGGCCCCTTAGCAGAAACTCCTCTGAGGTATTTCCTCTTTCCTCCATTCTTCTATGTAGTATTTTTAGTCTCGTTCCTTGCTTTCTTCCAGAAATGTTGATTATATCCTTTTAATCTTGAAACATTTTGCCCACTTATTTTTCTCTGAAGAGCCAGAACAAAAATAGTATATTCAATGTATAGTCGAAAAGCAGCTGAAGAAGTGAAGAGAGAATTGATGAAGTTAAAAGTGAATTACTACATTCTAGAAGAGTCGTGGTGTATAAGAAGATCCAAGTGAGTATTCAGAACAGTTAATATTTTATAATTGTAAAACACAAAAAGTTAGTTTAGGCTAATGGCAAGAGTTTTTTGGTACTATATCATATGATATATATAAAATAAAACATTTCCAAAAGTATGAGTGAAAAACTTGGTACATAATTATTTGAATTGAACTTTATTTGTTGCAAGTATGTATTTCTTAATCATATGCATGTGTATATTACCTTAAGGAGATTATATTGGGTATTGATTGATAATCTTCCAAATCTTTCTTATTTCCATTTGAGATATATATATATATATATAAACCTTACTTAAAGCTGAGCGTATTTTCCTTCAAAGAACTTCCAGAGTCTTAAGACAAACAAGGAGGTGGCCTTGCTGTACTGCAGTGGATAGGCAGCTAAGAGACTGGGCCTCCATTGTCTGGACTGAGTCTTTGCACCTGACACATGTCCTGCGACTAGATATAGCTCCTTGGTAGCATCAACCTCAAATGAAACTTTCCTTTCTTGCTGTTTCACATATTGAGTGAGGAAATAATCAGCTTTACCCACATCCTCTTGAGTTTATAACTTCTGTTTCCATGGAGAAGTTCACTAAGCAGAATGTAGCTGCCAGAGCCAGTAAGATCTCAAAAGCAAATGGGACTTCTGAAATGAACACGTAGCAGTGCTTTACCAGGGGCTGGGCACACACCTGGCATCCCAGCACTAGGAAGGCTGAGGGGAGGAGTGCAGATCTGAGCTGCATGATGAGTTTGAGACCAGCCTAGGCTGCAGAGCAAGACTCTGGCTCAAAAAAAAAAAACAGCAGCAAAACCCAGAAATGCTACACCTGAGTTTCCAGACAGTAGACAGCAGCCTGCTATGAAAGCACCAGCACTTCCCCCGTGTGAGAAGCGTGGTGTGGGAGCATTTCTCCAGGAGTTGAGGACATCATACGAATGCTTTTGCTGCATTCTCAGAACCACTACCCTGTACTTGAGCAGAAGCTTCCAGGACACTATGTCTGTGGCTCAGTTAGCCTTCCTGCTGTTTCTCGGTGATATCACAGAGTATTAAAAGAAAATGTTCACATATTAACTCATGAATGACAACAACTCTAAGTTCACATACCTTTCATTAGCTCTTTTCCATAAATTTTAGGCATGGCTCATATTGTTATGAGGACATTATCGTAAAGCAGGGCTGGGTGAACATTTGCAATAGAACTCAGTTTCTTGACAGCTTTCTGCTGAGTTAAGATATACTTTATCTTCTTGGGCTTCTTTCCTGAGAAACACAGAGGTCACTGTAAGAGGAACATGATTTTTGTAGCCTTTTTCCTCCAAGTAGTCAGTGAATATGGACCCAAGATTCCCCTTTGTTTTCCAGACCCTTACACAGTATTTTAATTATGCACAAATGGCCAAACCTTTGGGTTCTGTGGTGTTGACAGAGCAGTTTGGGTTTGCACAGTGCCCTCTTCTGATAGGCATAGCATTGGTTGATGTGTGTCGTTAAGTAAATAGAAATTTAGGGTGTATGGCAATAACTGTTGGCACTAAACAAGACCCCCATTTTAACTAGCTTCAGGTTGTGTAGGGCACTAGGGCTTTGGGTTGGGTAGGGAGGGCATGTGAGTGTATCTTCCTGCCTGATGTGGACTTAGCCATGGTTGTATTGGTTCTGGAAGGAGTGAGAACGAAGCCAAGCAGTGGCTCCTGTCCGCCTCCTGCTCTCATTAGATAACTGGCACTGATCCTATATGATTCCAGTCAGACTGATGTGTTCTCTCAGGAGGCCTTGGGCAGGTCCACTGTGCTTCAGTATGAAACAGGACAGAAACTGTGCTGTTCTGACACAAGCACGGGGAGAGCTCAGAAGGGAGATGAGGAAGGGTGACAGCGTTTAGAGCTTAATCTGTGCGTCATTGCTGAACCATCCTATGCTCATGTGTTGGGGGGAGGTCTCATTTACAAAGAACTTAATGGTATGGCTTGATCATTCCTTAACTATATCTCACTGTGAGCAAATATAGTACTAAAATATGCCCAAATGCAAATTATAGATGAGCTTTTAATTAGAAACTCTTAATATTCTCAGTTCTGTGATTTCTTGCTTTCCTTAATTCTTGTAATAGAGTTGTCATAAAGTTAAAATATGTGTATTGAGAAGAAAATTATTGAAGTTCCCATTAGTGCTTTAGAAAAACAACAAATTTCTTTTGCTGGGGCGGGGTGTTCTGCTGTCCCTGCTGGCCTTGAACTCCTTAGCTTAACTAATTTTTCTCTCTTAGCTTCCAGGTTGCTGGCATGAAAAATACACACTGATATGTTCAACAACACAGATGCTGCTAAAAGATGCAGCTGGCCAGTATGGTGAAGCTTTAGGGAGCTCAGTAGTGGGTGTTAGGGGAGCAGACAGAGCCTGTACAACAGCTCTTTGCCCTTTCATATGCTTGTTGCCTGTTGAGCTCAGAGAAACTCAGAGTGGACTCTGCTTCCTCTGTGTCATACTCTAAACTGCACCATATTTGGCGACAGTTTAGCCTTGACAAGTGTGAGAAAGTTAATGGTAGAATTGCAGAGGCAGCTATATTATCTTAGGTATTAAAGGTCAGTGGGGTCCAACATCGGGGTGTTCAGAGTGTGCACTGGAACCCTCTCTCTAGGCACACTTGATGGTAAACCTTCCTGAGAGTTAATCTGATGGAGGTAAAGTAAAAGGTGTTTTTTTCACAATGAACATTTAAGTTACAGAAGGAGATGGGCAAGAAATATTAATAATAACATTGCTTTATGTCAACAAAATAAGAAATAATCAAAATGTGCACCCAGGAGAGAACTGTTAAATAATGCATATCAGTACTAAGAACTATTTTTTAAACTTCACTGGTATTTACAAAACAATAACATACAGAAGTATTCAGAGAATGAAAAGAAAACCCTTGATTTAAAATTCAGATTTCTTTTGTATGGTAGTCTCCGTTGGAATCATATATGGGCATTATCATACAAGGACTTATTTTCAATTAAAAATGTATATATCTTGAGATAAGATTCAGAGAACTTCTGTGAAGTGTACTATATCAGGAGTTACAAGTCTTAGTAGTTCCAATTTTGTGAAAACCCAGCGTCATATGTAAATGTCAATACTCCCCTGTCTATATTGTGTGTAAGAACATGGATCAAAGGTCTGGCAGTCTAGATACTGATATTCATAGAAGATGCCACTGAGTAATGACATTCAGGGCTGATGCATGCACCTGCTGTGTGGTGGGAAGCAGGACCGAATGCCATAAAGGATAAAAGGGACTCAGTGGAAATGTTTGGTTCCCTTGTTTTTTAAAAAGCAAAAGAGCTATGACAGAACAATCAGCAGCTATGGCCAGCTTTCTGTAATTCTCCTTTTCTGTGTATGGTGTAGGGATTGAATGCAGGGCCTGACACATGAGGCAAGCACTCAGTCTTAGCCTTTTCATTTTTGTTTTGTTTTGAGACAGTCTAAGTAGCTTGCTCAGGCAAACCTTGAACTTACAGTGTTACTACTTCAGCCTCTGGGGTATTTGGAATTATAGGCCTGTACCACCAGGCCAGCTTTTCTGTTCCTTAGGATCTCTAAAGCAAGTGGAAATGTAGGAACTGTTTAGGAACCCAACAGTTGTGCCTTTTAAAGACATTCTTGTTTAAAATAGATGTTAAAATTATTTGGAGGATTGGTGTAGATGAATATAAATTGATAATCTTATTTATACCATTATTTACAAGATACATTGTTGACCGGGCATGGTGACAGACCTGTAATCTCAGCCCTTGGGACTCTGAGGCAGGGGGTTGCATCTTTGAGTCCATCTTGGGCTACATAGTGAGAACCTGTCTCTAAAAAAAAAAAAAAAGAAAAAGAAAGAATATATGTTGCTTTTGAGCTAAGACATAAGCTTACCACTGTAAGATTTTCTTTTAAATTGTCAGTGAGTATGGCTCCCTGTGAGTTCTATAATTTTTATAATTTATATAAAATTTGTATAAATTTAATAATTTGTGCACTTCATAATTTTTTAAATTAATATTTTTGTGTGCTGAGCTGTAGGTAACCTAATTTGTGTGCTGTAGATACCTAATTGCTCTTAATCTGCACAGAAGCCTGTATCACAGGCATCTTCCCACCTCATAAATGTGGAAACTGAGACTGAGTGAAGGCAACTAACTACCCCGCACTGCGTTCTAGGCAAGCAGCAGGTGCAAGGATTCCAGGCTCTCACCTGTGTCTGATCAGCCCCTGAGAGCGTGTATTCATTCCATGGTGTGTTCTGTCCTCCTACTCCCATGGCTGTGTCAGCTCATCCTAAAGAGGAGTTATCCCAGCTTACAGAAATAAAGATAACTGTCATAGGACTTTGAAAAGCTAGTTGAAGTAGAAAAACTGAAATGAGATGGGGAGTCGAGCCAGTGTGCTGTACTGTCTGCAGCCGGATGGTGTGTGCTGGTTTTAATGTGTGCATTCGCTTTTCCAGGCCTGGCTGCAGTATGCCTGAAATCTGGGATGTAGAAGATCCGGCCAATGCTGGGAAGACACCCCTGTGTAACCTCTTGGTGAAGGATTCCAAGCCTCACTTCACCACTGTGTTCCAGAACAGTGTTTACAAAGTCCTAGAAGTTATCAAAGAATGACTGCACGTGAGCTGCTGCCTGCAGAGACCCTGTCAGTGATGGTTTAATGATCTGTCACTGTCCTGAATCGTTTTTAAATCAAATCCTCAAAACTGTTGTTGTAGCTGTTTTCAATTGGAAAACATTTTATTTAGTCAGTTATTCTGATTGTAAAAATGACTTATACAGGATCAGTTACTCCTTAAAATCTGCTATGCAAATGAGTATACGCTTGTACTTGATTTCAATATGTGTGTTCCAGTGAACAAAGTCACCTGTATAAAAATACATCCTGGGTCACGACAAAGTTGATGTGCAAATACAGTTGATTCTGAGCTATTGAGGGGCTTATTTTACAGCCTCAGGGCTGCTTACAGCTCTTGGTTCTTAATTTGCCTCTCGCTCTTATTGCTGGACATTCTGGTGATTCTCACAGCTCTCAGTCCTGTCCATCCTGCTCATCACTTGAGCTTGGTAGATGGGGCAGGTATTTGATGTGTGGAATTACTTGTTCATCTCCTTGCCTTTTGCTCTTTTTGCTCTGTGTTGATCTCCTGAGTGAAGCATTTCCTGCCTGTTATTAACCCAGACTCCTGGGTGTTGTGGGGAGGATCAGTTCCTTTAGCTTCTAACCATGGGGCATTATGGAGTCCCTTCCCCCACATACTTTTTTTCTTTTGGGGGTGGGTCAAACAAGTGCTATTTAGTCTTAAGTTCCTTATCAAATACTTATTCTTGGTTCAAGAGAATGAGTAAATGTGTATTTTTCTCATTTTTAGTATTAATCAAATGTTATATTTTAATACCTTTAAACCACTATAAAAATTTTTTCATAATTACAGTTTAAGAAAAACTATTTTGAACAACTCCAAATATAATACATCTAGAGTCTAATGTATACATTAATAGATATGACTTTGACTATAGGATATGGCACTTTCTCTTTTACTGTTGAGATACAGTAAAACATAACTAATTTTTCTGTCAAAAAGTAAATGAATAATGATGAATTGCCTGTCTCTAATAAGACAAAGCCTTAAGCCTTATAATTGTGATGCTAGAGAACATTAGAATATTTCTGTGTGAGGAATGAGTATGTTCAGTTTTATCCTTCATATTTTTTCCTGTTTTATTTTTATTCTAAATCTGCTTTGATTTTCTTGTACAAATTTTTGTTTTTTAGAAGTTAATTTGTATAAAATGAGGTACTTCAAAGCGATGGATTTTCATTGTTTTGAGAAACAGTTTTCAGGATTAAACGCTAAGCAAACTGTGACTATGGCTGACTACACATTTAATTATAGTCTTCTTTTTATTAACCACAGGCAGATTAACCTCATTGTGGATTGTCCTTGAGACCTGAGTCCTCAGGGATGGTTTCCGGTGCCCACTCCTGGCAGCCACGGAAGAGCTGTTCTCTTTCCGCCTTCTTACCAGAGCCCAAGGACAAGCCTTGTCTGGGGATGCACTAGCTTGCTCCCATTGGTCAGCTACAAAGACAGCACATGCCACTGAGGCATGTGGCTTCAGAGATGGCACTGCCCCCAGAGCCAGCCTCACCTCCCGGGCTCTGCCTCCTGTTTCCCCAGTGTTCTGCAGCCCTGTGACCATGCTTTCTCATTTGCTGCTTGACTGTTTTGTTCCTTAAACTGTTAGCAACTTCAGAAAGCAGGGAAGCAACTGGAGAGTGTGGATTGGGAGTAGCATTTGAGTGATCTTGCAGTAATCCAGAAAAATGGAAAGAGGGCCTTGAGGTCAGGGAGAAAGAGGATGGGTGTGGGTGTGGGATGGGAGGTGTGCCTGCCTTATCTGCGGTCCTTCCCTACCCCACTATGGGTGGATCCAGCTGTTAAGTTTTTTTTTATCCTATTTTAAAAGTTATTTTCTATTCTCACCCTCCAACAGTTTCCTTCATAAGTTCACATGTAATGATTGGAAATTCTGTACAGAAAAACAGAACATTAAAATACTGTCCGAACTGTTTCACTACCTGGGAAACATTAAAGTAGTCTAAATTAGTTTTTTTGCAGAATCCTTTTGTAACTGTGTTTCTTACTTTTACTCACCAGCAAGCTCTGCTTGTATTTTAAGCAAGTCAGCTTGGAACAGAGGCCTTGGGGGTCCACTGCGTATTCAGCCTGGAGCACTTCTAGCAGCCGCCAGTGCTCTGCAGTATGAATGCTTTTATGGCAATGTAGAGTAGTAATAGATTCTGTGTACCTGACAATGCAGTATTAAAGCTCAGTATTTTATGTATTTTTAGCATTTAAAGATATTTTTGCTTTAATGTGAGGAAAGCCAGGAAGGACAGAAGGTGATTGGAGTAGCTGTTAGTGTGACATCTAAAACAAAGCCCAGGCAGTGTTTCCAGAAAAGATAGCCTCTAACACTGCTTGGCAGAAAATGTGTGCTGTTAAAGTAGGCCAGTGATGTTTAAAAAAAAAAAAAAAATGAAAGGATGTGTCCAAAATAAAGCACTATTGCATAGGAGTATTGTATTTTTATGACTTTTTTGACCTTTGTTTACATGTACTATATATGTTAAATAAAAAAAAAATACCATGAAACACGTAGGAAGTGTTTTCCTTGTGCACTGCTTTTGTTTGCACATCGACTGTGAACCTGTGGTGTTTGATTTTATAGTCAGATAGCCATGAGCTGGTTTGAATCATCCTGCAGTCCTGACTGAAGGAGCAGTAACCCTGGGACCCTTGAGACTCCCTTGTCTCAGTTGCAGATGGGAGGTGCTGGAATTACCCGAGGTTTTCTTATGTTTATGGCCAACACCAGCCATGCTGTGTTATCCTTTTCAGCAAGGGATGTATGTGTTAATGTTAATGGCAGAGCTGCTGACAGCCTTTCTCCATTCATTAAACCACAGACGATTTGGTGTAATAACATTCCTCAAGTGGTAGTTACACATTTTTGCATTATCATTAATCCTGTTTGAAGGAAAGGAAGTTTAGCTTTGTTCATTTATGTGTAACTAATTTCCTAACACCTTGATTCTGATGTCTTTGGTGAATAAAATGTTTCGATGCAATGTTTCTCAAACTGTTGGCATCAGCATCACCTCGAAAGTTCATAGATGGGCTTGCTCTTCCACAAAGTTTTGGATTTTTTTGGTTTGAGGCAGGGACTCCAGAATTTACATTTTAAAGTTTTTTATTAGCATATAGTATACATAATGCTGGGTTTTATTATGACATTTTCATACATGTAAGTGTTTAGGTCATCTCCCCCACTGCCTTCTCTTGTGACCCTCAGTCCCACCAATCACCTTTTCCCAACTCTCTCCCTTCTGTTTATACATTTATGTGGGCATGGTTGAGGGATTTACCACAGGAGCATGGGCAGTTTACCAGTGACTAGTAAATGAAGAAAATGTCTCCCTCTCCCCTAGCAACCATTAGAACTGCCAATAGGCTCTTCAGGGGTGGCTAGGCCTCATGAGTTATGTATGCAGGTACCCAGAGCTGCCAAGACTTCAGAAGTGCCACATGACCTTGCCATGCAGGGAAGATAGCGTTCTACAACCTTCCACCCCTTCCTCACCTTTTATAATGTTCCTGTGCCCTGCCCCTTTAACTACGTTCCCTGAGCCTTCGATGGCGGTGATAGAGATGCCCCATTTATCACTGAGCATTCAGCACTCATTTATTCTCAATACTTTGATGAGTTGCGGCCTCTGCAGTAACTTCTGCCCAATGTAAAAAGAAGCTCCTCTGGCCAAAGCTGACAGCAGCACTCATCTACCGGTAAAACATTCTGAAGACAATTTGACAAGTACATCGTGTCCACTTAGCAGTAGCTTCCCCACTAGAGCCTTTGTTCTCCCTGCTATAAGTGTTGACCAGACACATGATGCAGGCCCCAAGTCCCATCAGAAAGCAGTTATCCTAAGTCGTGCCACTATTGCACCCATGGGCACATTTTGCCTGGCAGGTTAGTACTATAGCATTAAGGGACCACAGTTAAGAAAGACTTGACAGTTGTCTTCCAGTAGTCTTCATAGCACCTAGCACCATGAAAATCTAGCCAACAGGGAAGAAACTTCCAGCTCAGTTCAAAGTTGGTTTGTCTGTGTCCTTCAGCCAACTAAAGTAGGTGGTATTTTGAGCAGTAAGGTCTTACCATCTGTATTAGTTACTTTTCTGTTGCTGTGTTGAGACACCATGACCAAGGCAACTTATAGAAGAAAGAGTTTATTTTGGCTTCTGGTTCCTGAAGGAGAGTCCATACTGACAGGAGGTGAGCAGAGCAGAAGGCTAGGAGCTCATATCTTCAAGGGCAAACAGGAGGTAGAGAGAATACACTGGAAGTGTGGCAAGGCTGTGAACTCTCAAAGCCTGCTCCCAGTGTCATGCTTCCTCTAGCAAGGCCACTCCGCCTAAAGGTAACATAACCTACCAACTGGGGACCAAGTGCTCAAATACTTGGAGCCTAGGAGGGATGTTCTCATCTAGTTACAGTATGCAACCCATAGTTGTTTTGAGTATGTCTTGGGTCTTGTTGACCAACAACATGTAGGGAGGTAGCCCACCCCTGCCACTGAGGTGTTCATATTGGTTTTTACATTTTTATACATGTATACTATGCATTTTGGTCATATTTGCCCTCATAACCGTCCTTGCCCCCAACTGGCCCTGTAGTTCTTCCCAGCCAGTCACCCTTCCATGTCATGTTTCTGCTTTGTGACTCAAGCCTCAACAGGATCATTTACAGGAGCATGGACTACTCACCAGTGGCTATACCACTGAAGATAATCTCTCTCCTTCTCCTGAAAGCCATTTATTGCATTGATTACCTCAGAAAGATGGGGCCTCATGATCCTTTCCCACCTCTATGTTGATGGGCCCAATTTTGTGCAGGTCTTGTGCTGATCGTCATAGCTGCTGATATTTCAAGAGTGCAGAGGCCATTCCCATGCCCACAAGAAAGCAACACTCCACCTCTTCTCCAGCCTTTACATTCTTTCTGCCCTTCTATGCTGTCCCCTGAGACTTGGAGGGGGTGGTAGTGATGTTTCATTTAGATCCCAGCTTTCAACAACAGTTACTTGCAGCACTTTGACCAGTAAGGAGTACTCAGAGTAACTCGCCTACTATAAAAACAAGCCTCTGGCCAGAGCTGGCAGCAGCACTATCTGTGGGTGGCTTAATTTCTTCCTGTTGCTATGATAAAAATATCCTGACAAAAGCAACTTAGGGTCACAGTTACAGGTTGCAGTCCATCAAGATGGGAATCAGAGCAGCAGGAGCCTGAGGAGCTGGTCACATTGCATCCACAGTCAAGAAGCAGAGAGTGATGAATGCATGCTTAGCTCACTTTCTCCACTTCATACAGCCCAGGATCCCCCTGCCCAGGGAATGGTCCAGCCCACAATTAAGATGGGACTTTGCACATCAGTTAACATCATCAAGATACCCCACAGGCATGTCCAGAGTCTTATCCTGAAGTATTTACAGGTTCTGTCTTGTTGACAGTTAACACCTGCCCAATGAGCACAATATTTAGATGGCAATTTGATGACCTTATGGCTTCTGGTAGCAGCTTATTCACCCACACAAGGTACTTCTGCTCAAGCTTTGTCTTTTATTTTTTAATAGATTATAAAACAACAGGTTTCCTTACGACTCTTTGTGCATACTTAGTTTTGGTTGACTCAAATTGCATCTCTTTCCTGTCCTCAGGTTGTGCTGACTGCTCAGGGACCATGCTCGAGAATGGCTTGTCTTAAGTGATGGGTTTGGGCTAGCTGGAAGGATGACTTCTAGGGGGAGCCCTGTTCCTGACAGCTCATACCACCATGGCATCTGAGTTGACCTGTTACATCCAGGGCTAATTTTCCCTGTCCATCCTATGATGCTTAGGGGGCCTAGATTTAATCAGATTTGAAAGGAGCAAAGAACAGAAAGATAAATTTGAACTCATTGACATGACGTGGATCGTTTAAATATTTTGTAACTACACCTTGTTTCTAGTTCAGAGATGGAAAAAGTGAAAATCTATTGAAATGGAACTTTCTTTTATAACATTACTCTGTCTAGGAGAAAACATAAATTCAGTAATTTGTGAGGATTTAAAATTTTTACTTCTCACTTTATTACTTTTGTTTGGGCCTCAGAAGTTTTCAGTCTTCTCCTTCTACAAGAAAGCCACTGAGAATCAGTACTAGGTCATCAGCTCTCCACTTCTCCCACCTTCCTTATCTCTGCATCCAACTAGATGTTCCTCCTCTAAATCTGTAAAAGTGTTCTCAGCACCGAAAAAGTGGAGTTACTTTTAACGTGATTGCATTTGTAAGCTGGTCTTCATTTCATTGCACCAGATCAGGACAAGTGCTTTCATGTTCCAAGGTAGTTATTATGTGTGGTGGTTTGAATGAGAACATCCCCCATAGGCTCCAAGTATTTGGACATTTTGTTCCCAATTGGTGATGCTGTTTTGGTAGGTCTTGGAAGGTGTGGCTATGCTGGAGGAAGCAAGTCACTTGGAGGTGGTCTTAGAGAGTTTTTAAGCTTTGCGGAATCTCTACTCAAGCTCTTGTTTCCTGTGCCTGCTTAGCATCTGCTCCTCCTCCAGCCACCTCTACCACCATGTCTCCCCACCACGATGGACTGACTCTTGCCCCTTTGGAACCATAAGCTAAATAAACTCTTCTTTTATAAGTTCCCTTGGTCATGGTATTTTTATCACAGCAACAGAAAAGTAATACATTATGCTACTGAAAGGTCTTAGAAACTTTGTTTTTGTATTTCTTCCCATGAAAAGAACTGTGGAATTCTAAATAAAGAGTTGAAAACTTCTCTCCTGACTTTGAGTCTTGTAGTATAATTAAGAGATAACAATCTTTGTGTGTATGTTGAAAATCTTTATATCAGGTCACTGATCCGATCCTACCTTAGCTTTCAAACAACTGTTTCCTATGCTCAGTTATCTTTAACCCCAAACTAATTATGCTGTGAAATTGGCTTATAAATAAATGATAGTGATACCTGGCATTCTGTTTGGGAAGATACTGTTTTAAATGCAACATAAAATGATTTCCTTGATTTTTAAGCACCTGTGTGTTTTTGTTTTACTGTATGCAAATTTAATACTTTGGGGGAAAGTTTAATTAGCAAAATTAGGCTCATTTAGTTGTTATGCTGATTGCTCCAACAGCTTTAATCCTTACTGGTTTTGTTTTTGTTTTTTAAATATTTATTATTTTATTTTATGTGTATGCATGTGTTACCTGCATGAAGGTAAGTGTACCCGTGTTGTGCATTGCCCGTGGAGGAAAGAAGAGGCTGTTGGATCCCCTGGAACTGGAGTTACAGACAGTTGTTAGCTGCTTTGTGGGTGCTGGGATTCAAACCCCGGTCTTCTGCAAGAACAACCAGGGTTCTTAACTGCTGAACCATCTCTGCAGCCCCAATCCTTATTGCTTTTTAAGATTTAAAAAAAAAAAATTTATTGGGAATTTTTGCATCTATGTTCATTAAGGATATGGGTCTAAGTATTCTTTTTTGATTGTGCCTTTACCCGGTTTGCGTATTAGAGTGATGCTGGCTTAATAAAA